GCAGCGTCAGATTCTATATTGTTGAAGGAAGCAGTAGAATTCTTGACCAGGAAACAATGCAAGGTACACTTGTACATGGATTCTTCTGCAGCTAGAGGAATTATTACAAGGCAAGGTGTAGGAAGAGTCAAGCATTTGCAGATCAGGACCCTTTTTCTTCAAGACCTCCACAAAGAAGGAACAATTAGTGTTCACCCAGTAGGAACCAAGGAGAACACAGCCGACATAGGTACCAAGCCCCTTTCAGCGAAACGTATCAGACTGTTGTTACACTGGCTAGGTTTTCAAACCAGCGAGAACGAACCAGTAGGTAGAGAAGAGCTCAAGGAACACAAGGCCCAAACACAAGCTAAAGCAGTTGTAAGAATGATCAAGAGCCCAGGAACTTTGTCTTTTGCAGCTTTGTTGTTTGCAGGAATTTCAGGTATTTCAGACAGTCTTCAGATTCAGAGTTTCAAGGAACAGTGTTTTGAGAGTTGTGTTCAGGAAGAAGAGTTTCAGCCAGATTTCAGGAACATGTTTTCTGTTGTGCAAGTGCATGTGAGCAGGACGGCATGTGCAGTGACACGAGTGCATGTGAGCTAGGAACGTCTGCAGGAACAGCGCATGGAACAGCATGTCGTGAGATGCTTTCGCAGCTCAAGGAACTCTGCGGAACACTCGCGGAACGCTCAGGTATCCAGGAACTAGTTCGCCCAGTAGCAGAAGGTCAAGGAACCTTACAAGGAACCTTAGCTGCCATGGAACCGAGCGCGAGTTCGAGCAAGAACACAGAGGAAGTTCTCAAGGAACTGGAAACTTTGAAGGAAGCGGCCACAGCATTAAGGAACGCTAGTGAAGAAAGGAACGTGATCGCAGAGTCGATCAGGAAGAACACAGAGGAAGCGGCGCGTTTGCGCCGATCCCAGGAACATGTGGCTGGTTGTGTGGAGTCCTTGACAGGACAAATCTACGACGTCAAGCACCAGGTTCAGGAAATGGCCGAACAGAACGACAGAGACCGACAACAGGTCAAGGAACACATGGCCTTCGTCCTAGGTACATGTGATGCCGTAAAGGAACAGCTGAACCAGATGATGCAGGACTTCTACGAGCAGCAGCAAGAGGAACAAGAAGAAGAAGAAGACGAAGAGGAACAAAGGAAAAGAGAAACCAAGGACCGAGAACTAGAAAGTGAACTACGTCGTGAAGGACACGGACCAGGAACAGCACCGTCGAGAGCTACGTCACCTACGTCCCAGGAAAGGAAAGAATATTCGGACCGAGGCTACTTCGAGGGCATCCAGGAACGAGAGCAGGACTACAAGGACCACGCCGGCAACGAGAACGAGGCCTACGTCCACAGCTACGTTGGAGGAGAAGATCCCAGGGAGTACCCCGATGAAGGCAGAGCAGAGGAAGGAGAAGGAACAGCAGCAGCAGAGGAAGAAGAAAGTGAGGAAGCAAAGGAAGAGAGAAGAAAGAAGAAGATCGCGGAGATCAACGCCAAAAGCAAGCAAAGGCTCAAGGAAAAGGAAGAGGAGAAGAAGCTCTTTCCGTACCCCTACGACTACGCCAGCGAGTGGAAGGAATACTCCGAGAACGGCGAGATCTACAGGCAACACAGAGTTACAGGAGAAAAGCAGTGGGTCGACAAGGACTACACGTACAAGCACGAGAAAGGAACAAAAGGAAAGAAGGAAGGAAAAGGAAAAGGAAAGCCAAAGGCAAGAGCAGAAAGCACAGGATTTCGACCTCGAGATGAAGATGATCGCAAATACTGGGAAGAACAGGACAGGATCTCAAAGGAACAGAAAGAAGCAAAAGCAAAAGCAGAAGAGGAGAAGAAGGCAAAAGAGGAGCAGATTGCCAAAGCAAGGTTGATTCTGGAAGCGGCAGCAGAAGAGCAGGAAAAGCGAGACAAAGAAAAGGCAAAAGCAGAAGCAGCAGAAGCCGCCGAGAGAAGGCGAGAGGTAGAAGCAGCAGCCAAAGCAAAAGCAGAGAGAGAAGCAAAGGAAAAGGAGGAGACCGAAGCAGCAGCAGCAAAGGAAGCAGAGGAGAAAGCAGCAGCCGCAGCAGCCAAAGAGGAGAAGGAAAGAAAGGAGCAGGAGAAGAAAAGAAAGGAGAAGGAAGCTAGGAAGAAAAGAGAGGAAGATCAAAAGGCATCGTCAGCGTACATTGCCCAGAAGGAAGCAGAAAAGAAGGCAGCAGCAACAACAGCAACAGGATCAGGTGAAGCAGACAGGATCCAGAAGCTTGAAGAAATGATGAAGGAGATGATGAAGGAACGCAAAGAGGATAAAGAAAGGATTGCAAGCCTTACACAGGAGCTTGAAAGCAGAGGATCAGCAGCCGGGTCGCAGGCACCCACAGAACCAGACACAACACCAGCAAAGGAAGAGGAGAAGCCAGAAGGAAAAGGAACAGGAAAAGCAACAGGAAAGGAGCCACCGAACGTCACACAGCACAAGCAGAAGGAAGAAGACAAGGACGACCCAGAACTGTCCGCCAAAGGACCAGTGAACGAAGCATCGTTCATGAAAGGAAAAGGAAAAGGAGAGTTTGAAGGAAACTGGTTTGCAGTCTACAGTTTCCAGAACAGGAAATACCAGTGGAAGTGGAACGAAGCCAAGACACAGTGGTACTGGTATTCAGGATCAAAGGAAACAGGTTGGAAAGCAGCGTCAAAGGACAAGCAAGGAAAGGAAAAGTGCAAAGCGCAAGCAAAGATGAAAGAAGAGTGGCTAAAGGAACAGCTTCAAGACCAGAAGGAAGCTAAAGACAGCGAAGAGGAAGGCGAAGTAACCTTCCAGTGAAGCAAAGGAACCACGAGCAGTACTGAGGCCAGAGAGCCGAGGAAAGAAGCAGCAGGACACAGGAACCGTGGCACAGCCCTTTTTGTTTCTGTGGTGATCTAGGTAAAGTGCAGGAACGTCTTTTGTACAGTCGAGCAACCTTGGAGAGGATTGCGAGTGAACGTGCGCATACGTTTGCGATGAGGAACAGTGTTTGTTTTGCAAGTGAAAAGGAACTGCAGTGTGTTTACTGTTTGTCAAGGAAAAGTCGGAGTCACCTCAGTCGAGGAACTTTCGCTAACTCCGAAGGCGGGGTGTTAAACATTCTGCCAGGAACAGTAACACAGCTAGTGCAGTACAGTTAATGTACAGGAACAGCCGTCACGCACACGCGACGTGCAGGCTCGAGACCCCAGGACACACCGTGCCCAGGAACAAAAGTGTCCGACAGTCTTTGTGGGTAGGAACCCTTAGTGAAGCCCGTTCTTTAACAAAGAAGTAGAATCTCTTCATGGTCTCGGGCGTTGGTTCTCCTCCTCTGTCCCAGGTGAGGTCGTGCTCGAGGAGTACTCCCGAGTTGATTCTGAACTCCGCTGCAGCACATAGTGCATCCACATACTGCTTGGTGTTGTTATGTATGGGAAACTGCGGGATCTCAATCTCTATTTCTGCTGAATGTAATGCGTGAAGGCATCCGAGGAGTCTCATAGAGCTGAGGGTCAACTTTTGGCGCATTTGCTGCAGATGCCTTTGGTGCTGCAGTCGTGCCAATATTGCTGGAGCCCGATGCCTTGATGCCTGCTGCCTGGATGCTGTAGGTGCAGTGGTGCTTGCATATCTAGAATGCCGCGTTGTCCTGGGAGTGCGGGATCTGGATCTTGTCTTGGGAGTGTGCGATCTGGATTTCAATATTGCCCTCGGTCTGGAAGGTCTGGAGTCGCTGCGACCTCGCGTTGTAGCACTTCTTCTTGGGGATCTCGAATCCGGGCGCTGGATCAACATCATGCTTTTCTTCCGAACAAGTAGCGGCCTGGAAGGTCCGGAGGATGCGCTCGGTGCCGTCATTGGCAAAGCTGGCAACCCTGTCGTAGGTCTGGGCGTAGGTGGTGCTTCGCCAGCTCCAAGTTGATCACTTCGTTGGAAGTAGGGCCGATGGGACATAGTGCGCCCCTCGTGCTTTCTAAATGCCGAAAACGGCTGTGCTTTCCGCTTGGCCTTGGCTCCAGATCCGGTAGCGCTCTGCCCAGTCTCAGTGTCCTCCGCAACATCTGTAGAAGATTGCACTGTTCCCTGAGGGCGGGCTACTTGAAGTGCACGAAGCTCCTCTTTGCTGAATAGTAGAGAAGGTGATCTTCGCGTTGCCGCAGAAGTCGCTCTGGCTTCTTTCCGGATTCTTTTCAAGGGCGGCCGCCCCTGTTCTGTGGAGGTAGGTGTCACCGATGGTGCCGCACCACTACTCAATGCCGCAAACGCTTGCAGCAGGTCTTCTGGTTGCGCATTTTTGATCTGGATGTTGATCTCCATGGCGCGGGAAGCAGCACAATGCAACTGCTACGCCTAAACCCGAGACCAAAACGAAACCAAGAGAAAGCCTGATGAAAGCCCAGTGTCGTGCATTAGCAGTCTTTACTCTACTCTACTCTTAAGCTTCTGCAAGATTTCAATCAGATTTCAATAAGCCTTCTCGCTTGCGAGACAGCGTTTTATTTCCCAAACGAATTTCTGATTTGCAGTGCTGCGGTTTTGCCATGTGCAATTTCTGTTGTGCGCTTTTTTTGTGTGACTGCACCACTTTGCACAACATGATTGCTGATGCAAATCCTTGTTCTCTGTAGCATTTGGGCTGTGTGCAGCCGTGAGAACAATTTTGTGAACTTGGGCCTGAGATCCTAACTGCTCCGGCTTTTAACCAGGCCCCCTTTTTCGACGTTCCCTCTTAGAGGGTGTGCAAGCTGGTCTCTTGTGACCAGCGGATGGACTCGAGCTGCCAAAGGGGGCCTGCTCTGCTGCTTGTCGCTGCTCAGCCTGAGCTCTGGCAGGCATTGTTGCTTTTCTGAGGACTCACCGCGCTCGCTCCTTACGGGCGACCTGTGCTTTGCTTCGACTGCAGCATCGCCTGCTTTGGGTCTGCCCTGCCGGGTTCAGTGACTCTTCGGATTACCCTTGAGGATTAGGCTTCCTTTCTTGGCTAGCTTCCAAGGGGGTGTGTCTGCTTAGCCTCTCATCATGTCACATGACAGTGTTATTGATGATGCAGACATCGACCGCTTGTTGTTGCATGCACGCACCAGTGGCATCGTGGATACTTTACCCAGGCTCCCCTGGGAGTCTGGGATTATGGCGTGCATTTTCGGCAATGGTGCTTTAGAGCATCCTGTCTTGCGATAACCTTGCCCTCCTGCATTAGAGGATTCTGCTACCCCGGCTCCCGAGGACGTGCCGTGCATACGTGTCAGGCCTGCCCCGTGCGCACTCTTCGAGAAATCCTTTTCTGCGAGGGCTGATATCTCTACCCAAGCTGAGGACGATCACCTTTGGGTCTTAGCGACCAACAAGTGGTGTTGCATCTTCAGCTTAGCCCAGAGTGATCCTGGACAGGTTGGTGAGCAGGCTGCTCAGTGCTTGATTGCAGAGGGTGAGTCGGCCAGGAACGAGCTGATTCGGGATGTCTTTGGCATTAAATCCCCTAGGACTGCGATTAAGCGTGCCAATTCTTTGCTTAGGTGCTTGAGGTGGCATCTTAGAGAAAGGCGGGCCGCCTGGCCCTGGGACTGTGATTCTTTTACCGACTTCGTAAAATCCCTTGGCGTTGTTGCAAGTGCAGTGACAAGTCTCTTCGAAGCCGTGCACTTTGCACATCATGTTTTGGGCATGCCGCTTTGCAAAGAGATCCTTGAGGACCGCAGGTTGCAAGGCCGTGCCAAGAGACTTGAGGGCGAACGGGCAGAGGTGAAACAGCAGGATCCTCTCACTGTGGAGTGTGTTGCCAGACTGGAGAAGCTTGTAGCCGGCAACTCTTTGTGTGATGCAGACACTTATGTGCTGGGTGGCATTGTCTTCTGCCTGTATAGCCGCTCGAGGTGGTCCGATCTTAGAAATCTGCTGTGCATATGGGTGGACTTTGAGGGTGACGACCAGTTGTCTGGATTCGTAGAAGCCAGGAGCCGTGATTACAAGACCAGCAACACAGCCAAGACGAAGAGGCGTGCGATGCCTCTGGTGGCCCCGTTTCCCGGGGTTACTGATGCCAACTGGGTGAAAGCCTGGTGGAGTGCCGGGCTTCGGCTGGGTGTGCAGTGGGATGCAGATCCCTTTGGGCCCCTGGTTCGTGCCCCAGATGCCGAGGGCCAGCTCTGCAAGAGACGGTGCACTTCAAGCGAAGCCGGTGTGATGTTGTGCAATGCCCTGAACCTGGATGGGGACCAGAGGCGTACATCTCATGTCTTGAAGGGTACGACTTTGGCTTGGGTCGGCAAGCGTGGTTTTGGAGAGCGGGATGGCCTTCTTCTTGGTCACCATGCTCCGGGCTCAGGCTCGCTGGCATGCTACAGCCGAGAATTGTTGAGCGCGCCCCTTCGCGCCTACAGGGCTATGCTTGCAGAAATCAGGACAAATGTTTTCAGGCCAGATAGTACCCGTGCAAATTGTTCAACTTGGGAGCTCAGGCGGTGCCTTTGGCCTTGGAGCACAGCTAGAGAAGGAGCCAGGTGATGTGGTGCATCAGACAGAAGTGCCAGGAGAGCTCGAGCATTATTATGCGAACAATTTGCCTCCAGACTTACCGGAATCCTCGCAAGCAAGCGAGCGTGGTCGTGATGACGGCTCCTGGGATCATGTTGGGCGCCCTATGCACGATGTGGGGGAGCAGGAACTTGGATCTGGGAGTGAGGTGCTCTTTCCTGAATTGTTCGGGGACGTTGCGCAGGACACGGCACTGGAGGGCTGTGGCTCAAGTTCATCTTCTTCGTCTTCGAGCTCCTGTTCCTCCGAGGCCAGTGAAACGGAGGAGCAAACTATCACAGCGAGTGGTGTAAGCCAACCGTTTGAGATCAATGAGCCATGCTGGCAACACATCAAGTCGAGGATGCTTCATCGCCCTCAAGGCGGGCAGGCAGCTTGCAAGACGAAGTGTGGGAGGCGCACGGCCAATGTGTACAGGTGGCTAGAGGGAGCCTTTTTCCAGTGGCCCAGGTGTGCAGTTTGTTGGAAAGGAGAGTTGCTAGATTCCACTCGTGCCCTCAATGAGCGGCTTGCTGAGCTTATGAACCGTAATGACGGTGTGTGAAAATTCCGCGGTGCATTGTCGGAGTGCCTTCTGCTGTGCGCGGCTTTGGTGTATCAGTGGAGAGTGCTCACGTCCTGAATGCAGCAGCTGTCATTGTGTGTGTGCGGGTGCGCATCCCATGGAATGCCCTGGTAGTGAGTTCATGTCTTGTGCGAGTGCGCTCTGGCTGAGGTAGACATGAGCATGCATGCAACTTCCCATGCTACTTCGAGTTTGGACGGTACTTCTCATGTTAGGTGCTCCTTGACAAGCCTGTGAGTCGATTGACAGAAGGTGTTGTGTCATAGTTCGCTGAGCTTGTGCTCTTTAGTCGGCATGGCTGCGCTTTCGCTTTTGACCTCCACAGCTGCCCTTGACAGGCAGTGCGAGCGAGCAGGCTTGTCAGCCCCGTGGGTCACCGCCTTGAAAGATGCAGGGATCACGACCTTAGGGAAACTTAGCTATGCTGTGACGCTTCCGGGGAATCAACCTTCGAGTGATGACATGGATGCTTTCATCTTGACCCTCCGGCCGGGGGCCAGAATCACCTTAGGGGACAGCTCTGCTTTGAAGCAGCTCATCTTTGAATCTCAGACCATGACGGTGGCTGAGCTGAGATCTTCGATGCAGGCTACAGACGAGGTGCCAAGGAAGCTGCCAGCGTCAGAGCGCTCCATGCGCATTGATGCTCAGAAGCGTCGTCTATCAGGATTGCCACTTGAGGGCCCTCTTGCAGTCGCTCATTGCGTGTATGACAAGTTAGCAACCATGCGCGAGAATGATGAACTGAAGTATCTGGCCCCCAATGAGTGCATCACTCGTGACGAGGAGCTTTGTTGTGAGAAGCCTCCCAAGGCCTTGCACCTAGATGCAAATAAGACGGGGTTAGTGGTGAAAGATGAAGAGACGACGGCTGCCTCTCTCTTGATAGCGACCTGTCCCTGTATCAAGCAATGATGAGGCGTGCCTTAGCTATGGACTTAGTGGGCCTTGCATCTTATGCTTGCGTGCAGAAGTGGAATGAGCGCCTTTTCCGCATCATGAGCCAGGACCCGCCTCCCGAGTTTCAGCGTGTTTCCCGTGCGCAAGTGCTACGAGCCGACCGGCAGTGTTTCTTGGAGCTTGCTCGAGTGTGCAATGGAAACTTGAAACCAGGTCCTGATGGGTCCCTTCCCTTAGACAAGGAGTTTGAGAAGCTTGAATTCAACACTACTGTGATGTACTTCTTGCTGCCTGTGAAGGGCCGGGGCAAGGGAGGAGGCAAGGCTGAGAAGGAGGGTAAGGGTCGTAAGCGCACAAAGACCACAAATGACGATGAGAGCCCGAACAACAAGGCTAAGATCACTCGCGACCCGATTCCTGAAGTTCTCAAGGGAATGCACTCGAGAACGCCAGATAACAAGCCGATCTGCTTCAACTTCAACTTGGGCAAGTGCAAGGCCGGTGCGAAATGCAAGTTCAAGCATGTGTGCTGCAAGCCTGGGTGTTACAAGCCGCACCCCATGAGCGAGCATGACTCCGCTAAGAGCTCAGAGTGACAGGGAACGTGCACGGGCGATGTGATTGCATGTGCAGTGCCCGAGTGTCAGGGATCGTCCGTGCACTCAGCGAAGCCGATTAAGGATCATGTGCTTAGTGATCGTGATAGAATTTTCTGTATCGAAATTTTTGCTAGGCGTGCCAGCTTGTGTGGATGTCTCCGAACGGTGTTACCCAGCTCTTTTGCGATTGGCAGAGGGTGCTCTCAAGCTTCTGCGGCGCCTGTAGTTCCCATTGACATTTTGTCCCCCGGAGGTTTTGCGTTGTGTGCATCCTGGGTTCGTGAGCCCACCTGTGCTTGGATTCACATCCGGTGCCCTACCTCCGTCTTTTCTAACAAACTTTCGAATTCAGGTGATATCCAGTGTGAAGTGGAACGGTGCATTTACACTTTTGCTCAGCTCATCAAGCACTGTGCTGATACGGATACCATGTGGACCATCGAAGCGCCCTCGCGCTCGCCCTTCTGGAAGACTTCGCTTGGTCTTCAAGTGTCTTCTTCTGCTGTTGAGGTCGACTTGAGCCGCTACGCCCAAGGGGTTCGGGGTCACATAAAGTTTGCATCTTCGTGCCCTCAGGTTTTGACGGCCATTTCCCCGCCTGTGTTGCAGCCTCCGCTTGTCAAAGCCAACTTGGATGCAGCTATGGGACGCATGTATCGGGCTTTGGCCCTCGTCATGCTCGAACACCTTGATGTCGACGCTTCAAGCTTACCACCTTTGTTTGCAGCTCAGGTTGGCACTGGTAAGCAGCCTCGCAAGCCTCTGCTTGCGCCAGTGCCAGAGTTCAAATACTTTGTTCGTGTGACCTTGAGTGCGGTGCCTACTTTGGACACCAAGCGACGGCTTCTTCAGCCCTTGCGTGTGCATGATGTGGTTGTACCTGCTGGAGCTCAACTGCTCCCCCCCCTTTACTTCACCGCTGCTGAGTCTTCGAAGCGGGTGTGTCTGCCAGTCAGCGGTGACAAATCTTCCGAGACATTGTGTGTCGCTGGCGGGAGCCCTCCCGCTGCAGCGATTGCAGATGACATGATGGCGACATCCTCCCCTAGGGTTCCCCTGCCGGTCCCTCCTCCCCCTTCGGGTTTAGTGGATGGCTCGCCTTCTCCTTTTGGTTTAGCTTTGCCTGATCCAGGTAGCAGTGCTGCCGTGATGACTGTGTCCAGTGAAGCTGAAGTGTTAGCGGCGGACATGTGCGACATTCCTACGCAAGCACAGCTGCTGCAGGTTTTCGATACATTACCCGCAGAAACTCCAGCCAGGGGTGTCAGTGATGCGCGTGAGAAGGCCTGGTCTGCCGGTGCCTACTCCCAAGGTACTTTGTGTGGTTTGCGAAAGAACACCAAGCTGTTTCCGAATGCTGTTCGATTGGCTGTGAGGCTCCTGCGTTCCCGCTTTCCGCATGCCACGTTCGCCACAGTGGCAATATACTCCAATGTGTGCACTCCGATGCATCGGGATGCCAATAACTTGGATGGGAGTTCCAACTACGTGATGGCCTTGACAGACTTTGCTAAAGGGGGCATTTGGGTACAGGATGATGAGGGTCAGCATGTAAGGGCCATGTTCCTTGGAAAGGCTACTGGTCGTGTCCTGCAAGTGTGCGACAACCCTGTGGAGTTCGATGCACATTGCTTCCACTGCACCTTGCCTTGGGAGGGCTCTAGAGTCGTGTTGATCGGATTCACTCCGAATCGTGTCGCTTCTCTGAAGAAAGATGATGTGCGAGTCTTACGGGACTTAGGCTTTCCTTTGCCTGGCCACCCTGTGCCGGTCAATTGTGCGACAGCAATGTGCCCTCCGGATCGCCAGGCCAAGAGTGGGGAAACTGAGCCTGTGGTCAGGCCTGTGCAGCCGACTCTGGTCACCTGTTCGGAGGCAGCATGCCCTCATGATCAGCCGTGCAAGAGTGGGGAAACTGAGCCTGTGACCGGGCCTGTGCAGCAGACTCAGCATGCAACCTTTGGGGTTCCCTTTGATGAAAGCGAGTTTGTGCGTGCTGCTGTACGCGCAGGGCATCCCAGCTCTTCACTTTCCTCACTGCCGGACCATCTTGAGTCGTGCGTAGATATGCTTGCTAAGGCTCCGCCACATGCTGTGGTAGATAAGAGGAGGAGATGGCTTGACAAGTGGACTACACGGGCGTGTGAAATTGAGCGTGACCCAGATCCTTCGTGGGACATAGATGACCCGCACATGAAACGTGTCCTTTGCAAGAAGCGCCTGCAGCTGCTTGACGAAATCATTGCCGCCGAGGGCTATGATGATGTAAACCTCGCTCGGGATATTTGGTCGGGCTTTGACTTAGTGGGCACTTCGCCTGTATCTAATGTTCTGCCCGGGAAAGTTACTCCTGCCTCCTTGCACCCCGATGACCTGTGTGCTGCGGCCCCTCGGGCCAATGAGGCGCTCAAGGTTTCCTTGGGATCTTCCGGCGATCGGGAGAAGGACATCCTGTTGTGGGAGAAGACAATGAAAGAGGTTGACTCAGGCTGGCTCCTGGGACCTTACGAATGGGACTCTTTGCCGCAGGAGCATGTTGTGTCCCACAGGTTCCCTTTGTTGCAGAGTGGGAAGCTGCGCCCCATTGATGATTACAGCAGGAGCGGTGTCAGCTCTTGTGTGACGACTTTGGAACAGCCCACTGTTGACACTGCAGATGTGGCAGCTGCTATGTTCGTCAGGTTGTGCACGAAACTTCGCGATGCTAAGAAGCCTTCATGGATCAAGGGTCGTGCCTTCGACCTGACGGCGGCTTACCCCCAACTGTGTGTAGCCTTGAGTTCACGCCGCTTTCGGTCATTGCGGTGTATGACCCACACAAGCAAAAGACCATGCTATTCACTCAGGTCTGCCTCCCCTTTGGATCGCGGGCTTCAGTGAATGGCTTCATCAGGTGTTCCAGGTGCATCCAATGGCTTGCCAATCGTTGTTTGCTTGTACCCACTACCTCTTACTATGATGACTTCATTGTCGCCTCGCCCGATTGTCTTGCCGACAACACGGGAGCAACCATGGAACTGTTGTTCCAACTCCCATTCGTGCTTTTGTGACCCGCATCCTTGATGAAGGTGTGTTGCCTTACAAAGAAGGTCTTGAGCTGAGAGGTAAACTATCCTTTGCGAACTCTCAAGTCATGGGGAAGACGGGGCATTACGCTCTCAAGCACATCAGCTCCCATGTTCATGCTTGGCCTTTTGTTCCCAAGCTATCCGCCCCTGCTCGGGAAGCTCTCAGCTTTCTGCTTGATCGTGTGTTGCATGGGTCCCCGAGGCGCATCACAAGATCCTTGGGGCAGCCTTGGTTTGTCTTCACAGATGCAAGCTTTGAGCCTGACTTCACTGGGGTCTAGGGGGTGTTCTAATCTCTCCTCTGGGTTCTGTTGTAAGCTGGTTCGGACTGCCCTTGTGCGAGAGCGACATTCGCCCTCTGGTTCCAGTGGATGCCATCACGGGCATCGGTGAGCTGGAAACTGTTGCAGTGGTTGTGGCCTTCATGCTTTGGAGCCAGCACCTCGCGTCTTCGGAGTGCATGGCGTACCTTGACAACGAGGGTGCACGCTTTGCTTTGATAAAGGGCTACTCAGCTTCGTCGGCCGTCACCCGTGTTTGTCATGTCTTTGCCAAGGCTTGTGAGCAGAATACCCTGGTGTGCGCGTGTACCATCGAGCAGCAATATTGCAGATGCGCCGAGTCGTAACATTGCTTGCGAACTGCTGCCTCACGACCGTGTTGCCGATGCGTCTTCAGTCAGTGCCGCATACCGGGATATCGTGCAGCAAGTCATAACTCTTTCCTAACATCTCTCTTGAAGTGGGGTGGGGTGAGAGATGACGGATTGCAGTTCATCTTTATGTGCATTGGCACATGGTGTATGCGATGTGATGGGTGTGTGCACCCTTTCTGCTTCACGATGCATGCTGACTCTCACCACGACATACCCCGCTTGCGCGAAAAGAGAGAGGGTTCGACCGAGTGCTTGAGCCACGACTTTTATTATACTGGAATTATATTTGATTGGATTCCTCCTTTTGTGAAATACCGCTTTCGTTGGAAATAAATAAGCTTTCTCGCTTGCGAGACAGCATTTTATTTCCCAAACGAATTTCTGATTTGCAGTGCTGCGGTTTTGCCATGTGCAATTTCTGTTGTGCGCTTTTTTTTGTGTGACTGCACCACTTTGCACAACATGATTGCTGATGCAAATCCTTGTTCTCTGTAGCATTTGGGCTGTGTGCAGCCGTGAGAACAATTTTGTCCCGCCCGCCCGCCCTGGGGTGGGGTGAGAGATGACGGATTGCCGTTCATCTTTATGTGCATTGGCACATGGTGTATGCGATGTGATGGGTGTGTGCACCCTGCTGACTCTCACCACGACATACCCCGCTTGCGCGAAAAGAGAGAGGCTTCGACCGAGTGCTTGAGCCACGACTTTTATTATACTGGAATTATATTTGATTGGATTCCTCCTTTTGTGAAATACCGCTTTCGTTGGAAATAGAGACAGGTCAAATTTCAAGACGGATTTCAAAATGAATTGCGAGCTGGAAGCTGCTGTGGCACAGAGATCACGACAATCTTCCCGTCCTCATCGTATGCTTTCCGATCTGTTGATGTTTGTGAGCCGGTTGCGAACCTAGCCAAGGATCACCCGTCCCACTCGGGGCACTGTTCCAAGGGATACTGCTTCGAGAGCAGCGGTAATGGCGCCGTGACGGATAAGGCCATGCCCGTTTCACACTCGAACACCCAGGCTTCCCTGGTAGAATGTTCTTCAGTGGTCAATCTCACTCATCACTGAGTTCAAGACTCGGAAGAGACACTTCAAAGAAAATGTTGCGTGGGGCCTTCAATAGTCTTTGGTTGCCTTGCTGCGATTTAATACCGAAAAAAGCCAAGGAGCACCTGTTGCCTGATTCCTGGATCTCGCTCGACACTGCCGAAGAATGTACTGGAAGCATTGCACAGCGAATATATAAAGGATGAACCAATGCATAGCTTGTAAGATTGATGACGTCACAAACTTGTTGCAGGTACACGAGTCAGCGTCCTGACTCGCTTCACAGATGCAATGCTGGCGTCTTCGTTGGTGCCAGTCCAGCATGCATCCCTGGCACCCCCTGCATGAATATCACTTGCAAGCTCTAACCTCAACGTACTGGCTGTCCCGTTGTAGCTTGGGGTCCCCACACACACACAGATCTTCAATCCGCACCGGGATTGATAGGACGTCGAAGCTGACTCACAAAAGACTTCTTCCTACTCGTCCGTGTACACAGCCAGCCGTTCTCCGGCCGGAAAGATTCCCATCGAGGCGGATTCGCATCTCGCTGAACTGGGACAACAACAGCTTGAGGCGGTTGTTCCTACGCCCATTCTTCAAAGATCGGCCTCCATTGCAAGAAGCAAGTGAGCCTCTGGAGTGGGGGCTTGGGACGAACATCCACGTGTCCTATTCTTTCTCGGAAGAGTAGGCCCGCTTCAGGTCCGCGCAGGTGGGCCTACTTTTGTGGACCCCGTCCTTGACCTTAACCACCCACTTGTAATGGGAGGTTAGGCGTCCCTCCGCTTTGCCGACCTGAGCCCCGGCGTGGACTCCTTTGACCCCACAGCTTTCTTAGCTGTTGTTCGCACGCCTCCTTAACCCGCTCGGGGCCAGGGACCGAATGACCGAATCGAGATAGTCCATAACCGTCGCCAGGTCCTGCTGGGCCACAGCCGGGTATCAATGATGAACTACCCCTGCCCTGTGGTGTACAGCACATTTCCTGCTGGCATTTTCAAGTTTCCTTCTTGTTTTGACAGTTGTTTTCATGTCGCCTTGCTTTTGATGAACTATCCATGTGTTGTATATACATGAACCGGACCACGTTTCGGGAGTTGGTGTCGCTTCTTCATGCTGAACTGTCCGCGAGCCGTTACGTCAATAATGGGATGCCCCTTCCGGGGGGCTGTTGGTGGGCTGGGGCAGTTCCCAATTCAACCCTTTTCCTTTTCTTTTGACCTTGCTAACCTTCTTCCTTGACCCCTTGACCGTTGTTTTGGTGTCGCATTGGTTCAATATGAGTTAGCCCTGAGCCGTGTGAGAAAGAGGTGCAAACTATCCATGTGCTGTTTTTCCATGAACCGGACCATGTTTCGGGAGTTGAACTGTCCACAAGCCGTTTCTGGGTCCCTGCCTGCTGGTGGTTGCGGCGCTGCTACTAGCGATCTCTGCCGGTTGGAGAGCGACAAAAGAATGTTGTGCGTAGGCTTGTGTCTTCCCATCTGCTTGTGCAGAGCCTTGGGCCTTGGGTCCGAAAAGGTGGGCGGCCTCTGGCGACCTTTGGTTTCAAGCCTCGTTTTAGTTTTCGCAAAACCACATGCGGAAACTCCTTGTCAGGAGCAGTAAAATCTTGTTACATCGTTCTCGGTTTTGAATTCTTAGCTGCTACTGCGTAGCCCATGAGCGATTCTGCGGGTACGTGTGGAAAGTATCCTTTCCAGATATCTTGACCTGTGTCTCCCACCAGCTTCGTTGGCATGGCAGTAGACACGGTGGCCATGCCCCGGGCAAGAATGAAAGCTTCCCTTGGTAAACAGGGCCTGACATGCCTCACACACACGCATTTCTTTTGGCGACATGTGGCGAGTGTTGTTTAGTGGATGATTGCGAAATATGGCAAAATCCACGTCATTCTGAATGCATCTAAATGCAGTAGTTGCATAGTTCGGTTGTCGGCATGATAGAATGGCTACATCTAGGTGATATTCCCCTGCATTTTTCGTTTTGGGGAAAGCGCTGCAAGCGATCGGAGCGCACAGCCATGTTGGGCAGCTGTGTTCGACTATCGTTTCTTGCACGGGGCACAAGCACACCACTTGCACGCAAGCTCAACCTTTGGGACGTTGCAACCGGCATTGCAGCCTTTATCGAAATCTGAAGATTGGCATGTGTTTGTTCTTGCTGTTCGGTGTCTGCTGGGCAACCACAATGCTCAGAGCCCGTTTGTTTGGATCGGGATGGGCAAGAGATTCGTTTAGAGCTTGCGCCAGGCCGGAATATCATATTTGGCATTCAAGAACGAAGAGGTTTCACAAGGAGACACCGATTTGGAGCCGTGAATCTGTGCTGGCAGAGTGCATTCCCGTCCATTCTGGGGAGGAGCTCTCAGAATCCTTGGCGTTGGTCAATGCTGCCCGAAGCTTCATGGCTGGACCGTGGCACGCTTTGGACCTCTGCTGTGGCAAGTTCGCTCCTCATCGGTCTTTATTCCTTGCTGCAGAATGCAACGATTGTGGGGCCTACACACATTCAACCTGCACCCTTGTACCGTCAGAAATCTTGACTGGGGTTCGAAAGCTTTGTCCCACGCAAAGCAATCGGGCCTGAATAATCAGGTCGCTGACTTCTGCACTGCTCTCTTTGGAAGAGATCCCGCCCGAAGCCATCACGGCCCGAACCTGAGTCTGTCGCAGTGGTCTTGGAAGATTCAGTAAGGCAGTCTCAATCATGCAGTTGGGAATCTGCAGGAATGTGGGGGGCTCAAGCATTCTGATCAGCCGAATCCGCTGCAAGTCTGCATTCCCCTCGGTGTGAGCTTATGTCGCTGCAGCAGCCTCACCAACGTTGCGCATCCACGAGCTCTCGCAGCTTGTCTTGCGGCAGGAGTCCCCGAAATAACGCCCGGGCAAAACGCTCCGCGTCCCACTTCTCCACATCTGGCGAGCTCAAGAGGGCAAACAGTCGAAGCAGGTCGAGGGCATCATCAGATCTGCCGGGCACGGGCTTCCGAACCTGAACAATGCGTCTTTCTAGTGGTGTTTCGGTGCTGTGCGCTGACCATCGGTTGCTGGTAGTTGGTCGTATTTGAAAGTGAGTGCCTGTCAGATATCCAAGGTTGCGAACCAGCTTTTCAGCGCAGCACGTCGAAGATGAGTGTCCGTGAGTTGCTGTCTTATGCGAAAAGCAATCCTGACGACTTCAATCTGCCGGCCATGCAAACTTACAGAAGCATCAGCCAGCTGTGCGAAGTATTTTTAACATCAGACGATTTCGACCTCCCTAACTTGGAGAACTGTAGAAGTGTGAGCCAACCCGCAGAGATTGCCTCGCCGCTTTCAAGCATAGTGCACCTGGACGACGGACTACAGCCGAGCGGCGATGATCCGAGGATGAGAAGCCAGTCCTGGTCCCAGGGAGTTTGTCGAAAAGGTACGAACAAAATGGGAAAGCACATGTTGAGGCATCCACAACAATGCGTTGTCTCCTTGTAGTTGCAATTAGCAGGTGCAGCTGGATTCCGAGCTGTATGATTTTTTGCATAATTTTCTGAACTCAGGGACACGAGTCCTGCGCACTACAGATAGCGGCAGCGATGGGCTTTGATGCACTCGATTGCTGGACAGCTTTCTGAAGGGTGTTGTGACCTGTTACCGAAAGTGTGAACCTGCGCTGTCGCCGACTACGGTGGAGGGTGTTGCCCGAAGTAAAACTGGACCGTGCCAGAAGGAGTGGGTTAGGGTAAAGTAACAAGGCAGCCCCTGGAATCCTGAAGTTGGTGGCAGGCTCATGCTGTCAGAACAATTTTCTGACCTGCACCTGCCTAGACAGCTTGTAAACTCCATTGCAGTCCCTGTGCCTTTCGTCACTTCGCGGCGACCTGCTGTTTGGACACTCTCATTTGATTATTTATCCATGGATCTCCACGGCCTATGGGACAGGAGCTGCATCGGCCACGAGCTTCTTGTAAATGCAGCTCGAGACTGCTTTTCCAGCTTGTGTTTTTATCAACTCCGGCCTTCTGAGTCTGAGTCCGGCAGACTCGGCGCCATGCCGAAAGAAAACCTCAAGTCTAATTACGACAGTGCAAGTATATAATAGTACTTGGCGTGATGACTGGTCGAAAAGCGAGCTCAACAGCAGGCATGCTTTAGGCATGCAGCCTTTGGCTGTTCGTAAGCTCCGGAACGTCTGCCAGGTCCAAGTGAGTCTTTTTGAAAGCTCTGGCTTGGCGAAGAGGATTCCTTTGTGGAGCCCTGGATTGTCAGCACCCGGCCACCGCTCCAGGCTAAGTAGCAATTAGCACTCGAAATTGCAGCTAGCTTCCTGGCCGTTTAATCTTTGACCATAAGTAACCATAAGTTATGTCTGGGAAATCCTGCATGTGCATAGGGTACCTGGAAGCGAGGCTTGAAGTCAGCTGCAGATCAGTGCGTCGAAGCGCAGCGCCACTAGACCCGTTTATGCTATCCCGAAAAAGATTCGCCTTGCTTACATGTCACTAGGCAGCTCGGCATGCAGTGCCTGATCCGATCAAGCCAGCATCTGCTGCTTGCACGACAGTACGTCAGCTCGGGCTGCGTGCGACCCCCAGGCCATGGATCTGCGATCGTTGGAAGAGCATCTCACTCAGAAGACAACTGCGCCGGTACCGGGTCGTTTGGCGATTCAAGCCCAGTTGTCTCGCAACGTTGTCTGGGGCAGCGACTATAGACTAGACCGATTCAATAGGAGTTCGCGATGGTGCGGAGGATGTTGCCTTTAATGTGCAGACACTGCAGAACTGCCCCGCTCCAATCACCCCCTCGTCCCGGTTCACTCGTTACAGGCTCCCTCACCATGGTCAGGCGCTGCAGCGTGCCGAGCTTCAGATGTACCAGGCCACATTGGCAACTGTACCGTACTTGCGTCGCGAACATGTTTGAGACTCCTGTCCTGGTCTGCTTGAAACCTCTTGACATCTGAAAGTCGGGAACCGTGTCAGCACGGCTCAAGATCCCTGCCGCTTGGTGCGCTGGCGCAACATGGCCACTACGTCGGACAAATCTGAGGAGTCAGGTTCGTCCAACAACTACAAGGTCTTCCTGAAAAAGTGTCTCGGAGGCGCACCACTTTGCCTCGGGATGGAGTCATTGGTTTGCCGTCGTCTCTAGCGCTGGTTTTGCAAGTGTTGTCCAGCCCGTGAAACTGTCGGCGAATACGAATTGCAGGCTCACCCGATGAAATCGAGGAACGCGATCAGAAACTGCTCGGCATAGAAAGCGAGATATTTGCAATTCCGGAAGCAGAGAAGGAGGCTCGGCCCATCCCTTTTGCTGCGCGATGGAGCACAAATTCACAATCGAATGTTCCAGCCAGTGACTCGCAGGAGTCCGGACGAAGCAGTGATAGTGAAGAGGACACAAAGGAGAAGAACAATGAGACCGTGTGCTCACTGCCCAGCAAGTCTTGTGAACCGGACCCTGCGCAGTCTTTGATGGTGGCAAGTTGCAAGTCTTTGGCAGGTGCTTCGCCATGGATGACTCCGACGACGACGGGGACGACGATGATGATGATGAGTCGGAAGACTGGGACCTCGAGGTGCACTGTCTCAGCTGACGAAGCCTCGGCTTTTCTCGCGCAGCAGTATTGCAATCTTGCTTTGCGTCATAAGCAAATCCTGCTGAGTATCAACTCGAGACCCACAGCGGCGGGATTCAAAGGTGATACTAACCGCATTTGTTTGCGGCGGAAGAAGGTCAAGTCTTTAGGTCCGACAGATAGATAGGCCTTGAGAACCTTCGGCTGAGAGGACGCATACAACTTCGACCCAGAACGCGTTGCAGAGCTTCTACAGAGGGGCAATGTGACCGAGGAGGAGCTCGTGGATGCTCAGCGGCACTATCATCGTGATGTTCGAGCTGCCTGCTCCTAAAAACTCCCCAAGACATGGTATATCAGATACAATCCGGAAGTACAAGTTCAAATGCAATCAGGAAGTACAGGTGCAGGTTCCACTGCGATGACAGCGAGGCTCAGGAACAGCCCTGTAAGACAAGTACAGGTTCCGGTGCGATGACATGACGAAGTCGACATCCCCCTAATGGAACAGGTACATGCATCTCTTGTCAATCCCTCTGCCAAATCGCCTACAGCCAGCCTCTAAATGCTCGTTCTTGTCCAAATGCTCACCTCTCTCAGCTCCTTACACCTACTTGGACCCCTGACGCCCTCCCAGCACGCGAACCTTTACCTGGAACCCCTACTTGGACTCCCACTCCTGCCCGAGAACCCCCGCCCCTTCCCCTTTGAACCACTACTTCAATTCCTCCTTGAATTGCTACCCGCCCCCGAACTTCAACCCCATCTGAAGCCCTGCAACTCCCCCTCCCCCCCAGCTTCCAGCCTGAACCCCCACTCCCACTGTTCCAACCAAATGCAGATTTCCAGCCCTAACTACTACATTTGCAAGGAAAATGCAGATTTCCCTATCCCCAACCCTTGCTTGAACTTCTACTTTTCCCTGCCTCCGCCCGAGTCCCTACTTGGGTCCGACTTCCCTTCCAACCACCCCTGGCTCTCGACATGAATCCCTGTTTGAACCTCTATGTACACCCCTACTCGCCTTGAGGCAACATGCAGATTTTCTGGACCCCCTCTCACTCCCAGAGTTCTACCTTGGTCCCCGAGATTTGGGGGGGCTCCTACCTCAAAAACGGACTTTGGACCACTCTCAATGGTGCATCGCCTGAAGCCTGAATCACACATTTCGGGGTTTAGTGTTGTGGGTTTGAAAGTTCCGTCCTTCGGGTAAGATGCTTTCTTTTCGAGGTTTAGGAGCTACTTCTCCAGACGTGCTCCAACCTCTTCTGCTGTTCTCGCATGATGCTGGGTTGTATTGGAAGTCCTACTTTCACGTTGTGCCCAGACTTGTACTTCGACTTTCCGGTTGTACGTGAAGCATTCTATATGAGGCCCCAAAATTAATGCTTAGACGGTTTTCCAAGAGCAGGCACCCTTCCGACATCATACTGTCAACGAAGCTTCCTCTCCGATGCGCTCCGACATGACATTTTCCCTGCGACTCAAGTTGGTCTTGGCTCGCATCCAGCATGGAGCTACGGTATCAGTATCTGCATCTCAGGAAACGATCCAGGTGGGTATGGCAGAGGCCTGTGGCGTGATTTCCTGCCGGACTCCACTCCCGCTGCATCTTGCGGTGAATATCTAGATATCTGCAGGCCATGATCCAGCGACTTGCGCAAGAGGATCCGGAAGCGGAGGCAGCCCGCCCCCTTGGCTGCAGACAACGAGATCAGCCCGAAAGGTCTTGATGCTTATGCTTCCGAATCACATTCCTGCACCTGGAAGCCGTCACAAGGTCCGGACTGCCAGGGTGATCTGACCGGCAGGATGACCCCGCCAGCGCAGCCGACTGCTTTTGACGCGTCACTCGGAGATGCTTCAGATAAAGGGTACCTGGCATTCCTTGCTGAGGCTGACGGGCTGTCGCATGCATGAGTTGTGGCTTGCAGCCGTTGGCAGCCTCTATCCTCCCAGCAGCAGCCAAGGAACACACCGCCTGATCCGAAGGAATTGGCCAACAAGCTGGAGAAGGCCGCTGATTTGAAGTGAAAAGCAATTGGCAATCGAGTCTCCTCCCTATGCTTGATGCATTCTCGCGTCAAATTCGCTGACTCGGTCAACAGCAGTGCAGCCACAGTCGTTCAGGTCAAGTAGCATCTCTGCGGAACGGCAGGTGCCTGGCAGGGCGCGCCGGTCATCAATGATTCGTCGTGGCGCCCTTGACGAAGCTGCACGCTCCGCCGCGAAGAATCACAGGTAGCTTTGCCAGACGGAACAATTTCGCCGTTTCAATTCAAGCTCTGCAGTAAAACATGAGGAAAAGCATTGCTGGCATTCAAAAGTCCAAGCTGATCGACGATGACGCCAACAAGGATCGACCGATGGCAGCTCGTTGTGTCCGGCGCGGAAACTGCCTTCTTCGCACATCTTGTGTTGGCAGGACAGCATCCTTCAGGCCGTGGCGAACACCAGGAAACGCAATCGACTTAGCATCTGCAAAGCCGTCGAAACGTTGGAGGCTGCAGGCCGCGGTTGGAACGAGTAACTTGGTAAATCGTGCCAGGATGTTTGCGTGGATTCTCGGCAGGCCTTGGCGAGGAGCCCGACAAGGAAGCAGTGGCTCAGCAGCTCGAAATGGTGCAGAAGCGGCTTGGCGATTTGAAGATCGGAGGGAGCTCCGCTGTGGGATGCCGGAGAGACGTGTTCTTGCAGGTGCCTCCTGGAAGCCAGGAAGAAGCACCGGGACACCGTGGCGAAGGCAAGGCCTGCGGCAGCAGTAGACGAGTGGACGGTCGCCCAGCGTTGACTCGAGGTTGCCATGGAGACAGTAAGTGGAGGCGAGCCGGCCTCCAAGGAGCCTTGTCCACATGGCGTGCGGCATCAGCGGCATCAAGCAGAAGAGTCAAGGCAAGGGTTGGAGCTGTCCAAGCCCGAGGACACCAAAGATTCTAAAGCGGACGAGAAAGAAAAAGGCCCAACATCTGCGACGACCGACGAAAAGCCAAAGTTCCAGATGTCAGCATCCGCCAAAGCCTTTAAGCCGGGCCCTCAAACACGAAGGTGCTTAGTGCAGTGTACTCAGCATAAGCCATAAGCTCATGCCATGTCGGCCGAGAACATCGTAGTTGAAACAGCGGGTTGACTTGTGTGCTCAGTCCCAACCAGCAAAGCATCGAAGAGAAGATTCGAAGCGCCGTCAAAGCTGCACACCAGCGCGCAAAGCAAGAGCGGGGCGAAGTGTCAGCACCGCCTCGAGGTCTCCGGGCGTAGCAGATAGCAGTAGAAGCAGAGTGAGCAGTGCTCCGTGATATGTTACACCGTGTTTGTGCACACCTCAAACTTCTCTCAAGGACATGACCAGTGGGGAAATCCGTATGCCGCGTGGGGATCTGGCTATGACGAGACTGGCTACGGCTACGCGCAAGCCTACCATCCGGGTTACAACCAAGCGACTGCATACAACCAGTGTTACGACCCGTCGTGGAACAACCAGATGGGCTATGCGCAGGCAGGCATTCAATCCTGAAGAGTTGAATGGAGTGCCATGATGAGTTTGTCAGGGACAACATTGGCAGCAACCCCAGCAAGCATGGACCCAGGCCTCCGTTTGCAACATGCTTGATGCATTCAACAGCTAGACGACCTGTCAAACAGGCAGGCGCCGGTCAAAACTGCTGGGTGACCCCCGAAGGACCCCAGCTTGCCAAGCATGCTTTGCATGATTTGCACGGCTGTGGTCGACAAGCTGTATATTGACTAAGCCCTAGACAGAGTGCGAAAGTTCAGGAGCAACTGCTGCGTATGGCGGGGATTGCTACAACTACTATGGCGGAAACTACTCTGGCTACGGCTGCTTGTGGCAAATATATGCAACGCGCGCCCCTGTCAATGGACTATCCTGCACCTGGTCTCAGGTCAGCATCAGGTTCCGATTCAGCAAGCAGCATATTCAGGCCAGAAATGTATACGTTCAGTATGTTTGGTCACGCTCGCACCAAGATTCTCGAAGCTCTTGAGCGAAGGCCAGGCCCATTGGCAAAACGCAGCATGGGGCGCGGCCTAGATGCCAGGCCGAAGCATACACAACGGTGCGAGTTTGCAGTTGATCACCACCCAGATCCCCTTTCTGCAGGCACTTCGACTGCAGGCTATGCGACACGGACATGCTGCAAAATGCGCATGTCACACAGAAGCTGTGGCTCGGCGTCTCTGACGCTTGTGTCTCATGCAATCCAGCCTGTGACCACAAGCAGCACCATATGGACCCCAAAGTCATGTGCAGCAGAAGCTGGGAAACGCCTGCTCAGTGCTCTCTGTGAATCCGCTACGAAACCCCCTGACAGTTCCTGAATGCAGGTCTCCAGTGCTTCTGCGAGCCTAGTGCGATTTTTATGTGCGAGGAATCTGTGTAGACAACCGATTCAGGCAATGACAGCAAGCCAGTCAAGGAAGCATTCTCTCAGTTTCGCCGTGCTGCCGATTGCCTGAAAGCCGTACAATGCAACGTCAGAGCAGACTGACACCAAATTGCCAATGCCATAGCACCGATTTGTTTCCTTTAATGCTGCCTAGCCGAGGATGCTTCGTGCCTGAGCTGACCGCTCAAACAGCATTCGTATGGCGGTATGTCTGTAGTAAGAGTGCTCCAACACAAAGCATCCCAGGCCTCGTCACGCATGTCGCACCCACCTGGGAGGACATTGTGACATGTTCGGAGCACTGAATCTCTTTTAGCCCGTTGCTGGTCAGACCAAAACGCCACATGGATGCAACTAGGAACAGACTGCCACCTGCGCCAGCAAAATCGAGAGGTGCCAGCTAGCTGTCGCTTTTGACTTTCCATCACAGGCTTTAAGGTTTCAGAGGCCGCGGGGGACCGAAGGCTGGAGAAGCCGTTTCACTTGTGAATCCTCCGTGCCATTGTCGTTGCAGACGCGGTGCTCGAACCTGTAGAGTGCGAACAGCGCCAAAAGTTGGTTTGCATTGGTGTTCCTTCTCGCTGCCTGCTTTGTGCCGTGAATATTCCCAGAGCATACCAAATCCCGCTGGCAGGAGCGGGCACATGCGAAGGTGCCAGTCGAGTACTGGAGGCACGGAATGGGTGAGTTCAATGATTGGGCGTCAGGGGCCTTTTCGGAAGCCTCAACATGCAAGGCACGGGAACGGGAAATTGGGACAAGCTGATTCGTGCTGGCAAGTTGCTAACATTTGTTGACTGGTCTTTTGCATCCGGTATGTGCAAGACGTTGTCCACACTGTGAAGGTTCCTTCAGCAGCTTTTGCTGATGATGCACACTGAGGTTCCACAACGAACCTGCAACATGAGCCCAATTGGTGCGCACGCCCTTCATTCAAATGGCCTCATTCATCCATGCGACCGAACTTGGAATTCATTCTGCCAAAAGGCTGCGGTTTTTGCTCCTGCCACTTCTGCTGATGGCTCTGCATTCGAGGTGTGATGTGCTCGCGCATGACTTCGTGCAGTCGTTGGCTCGACGTGTGGAAAGCGTGGGAAGGCCGGATGATACAGATGTGTCGGGAGGTGCACGTCTGCATGTTTCGACAGTCTGACACAGGCCAGCGGCAATTCTGGCGATGCATCTATGTGGTCGTTTGCACTGCTGGCCAGAGTTAAGGGCGAGCATCATGCGGTCACTTGCTTTTCCACAGCTGCAGTTGAGCTGAAAACAGGGAAGGGAGGAAGGGGATAAAGGGCGGCGGTGGGCTGGGAGAGGTTTGACAAGATTGCGAAAGCAGCTGCCTGTCAAGCGAGATCCTGAACAAGCGAGGCTATAGTCCTTCTCGTTACTAGGGATCCCAGACGGGTTCGGTCTTTTGGCGAGTTGCTTTGCCTGGTCTCATTCGTTTTGGATTAGCTGGCGAGTCTTGAGGTCTCGACCGCGATTTGTGGTCCATGGCTTGCCAGCACAAATGACATACTGTACAGGATGAATATTGCCAAGAGTGTTTTAGAATCAGAAGTTTGCTTGTCGAATCCGCGTCCATACAAGTGTTTGCCGAGACTCTTCCAGCACGCAACTTAAAGCACGAGTTCTCTGGAGTGTCACAGATTCTGACAAACATGAGGGGCAAAGCCGGCTGGCAGGAGTCTGCAGGCAATCAGTGCATTCCGCCAGATCGATTTGATTCGGCCGTTGCCCTACGTACAATCGTGCTAGTCCGGGGCGCTGAGCAACACGGCAATATACGGCAACGGCAGGAGCGAGCAGGTTGACACGACGTCCAACTAACAATAGAAGGCCTGAACTGGCCAAGCCCTGTCTCCAGAAGAAGCTGGCCGCACCGCCCGTTTTTCTCGTGGTTTCTGACATGCGTCGAGAACTTGAGGTGCTGCGTGCTGGGGCCATGCTGCTTGCCGCATTCCAGCGAGGCTCCAAAGGCACGGCCTAGAGTCGTCACGCAGGAACGGTGCAGGAACACTTCAAAAATGACAGTCTTGGGCTGACGGATTGAGGAAGTTGCTAGCGCTACTGCTGCTTCATTTGTTACCGTTGCAACAGGAACTGCAAGATATGTATGGAAGCGGCATGTCCGACGAGGATCAGTTCGACGCTTGGGCATGCCGCTTAAACCATTGCTTGACAACCTGCATTCTTCCGTGTGTCATGTGAGCTTGACAGCTTTGAACCACTGAGATGGATCGATATTTTTGCGCCGGTACTGTCACTCTAAAAGACGGAGAGAAGCTGCAGGCTGCACACTTGGAGAAGCTGCTGAGAAGGATCCCGGGAGTAAGCGTGACAAGGCAGGCCATTTGCAAGCGCAGACCGGTGACCAGACGACGTCGGCGCAGTGTGCTTTCCAACTCCAAGTCACTAGTCACCGTCTTGCGATTTCGCAGTGCCGGCCGCAGAGCCATTTGTTGTCTGGCGTGCAGCAGTTGCCAACGGTGTAGCCATGTTAGCCGAATCCACGCAGCCAGATCATCTTCGAATAAAATCTGTTTAGAGGCGACAGCAGAGACCGTGCCATGCTGCTGCGGGTTTGCCTTCTCGCTAGCGCTGGCTTGCAGGCGTTGGGGGAACAAAGCCTATCAAACCTTGCTGGGGAATTCACAGAACAACGCGAGCTCGAAAGAAACCCGGTCCCATGAGTGGACGTCATCAAAGAGCGTTGCCGTGAAGATCTGTCCGTGCCAGACTGGGGTTTGACAAATGCCGCAGACTGATTGGAAAAAGACTGTCTTTGTTTGCCCACGCTTTCAAAGCTGATAGGCCACGGGCCACTCAGATGAGCCGCTGCCCGATGAATGGTACGAAGTCTACAGAGCCTCGAGGCCATCAATCTGAATTGGTGCTGGTTCTTGTCGCATGCCTGTCAGCAAGAGTGTTACTGCCGTTGCAGTTTTGTGCCCCGCGCAGCTATTTCAGCTCAGCGAAACTTGGCTGTCTCCACTGCCCACCCTCTCTAGCAAGAATGGCGAAGGCGAGGTTGCGGCATGATTGTTTGTTTCGCCAAGAGATTAGCTGGCTAATGCCCGTTCAGAAACGAAGTTTCAGGAGTCAGCTGATCATTCCGAACTGCTGTATGAGTCCATCGGTTCGTGATGCAGGCCGTCTTGGATGCGCTGAAGGCCACCGGCGCGGCAGACCTCTCTGTGGCGAGGTTGCACCATGAAGCATTGCGTTTGGCAAAGAGTCGCTTTCTCTGGCTCTGCCCCACTGGCCATCGAGCCCAAGGCTGCAATTGAAGCCGTGTCAGCCAGCATGTTCAAGATCAAGGACCGTTCTGAGAATTCTCCGTGAACGGAAGATGTGAGTTGTAGGACAGATAGGAACAGCCCAGCGCAAACCGGGAAGTCAGAAAAACCTGGAATCGTCATGCGCGTGACACGGTCCAGGTTAAGGCCGAGACGTCTGTCGAGGCTGCAAACATGTTTGAAACTGTTCTGCAAGTAAGAGCCCACCACTCCGGCACTGACTTGCACATTGCTTGCAATGCCAGCAGAGTCTGTGTACAGACTGCCTTTTGCCAACTAGTTTCTGGAGCACCTTTGAGACAGGAGCTCAAGGGCCGTGAGATTTTGGACAGCCGCGGGAACCCCACAGTGGAGGCAGAAGGGGCGAACAAATCGCCAATCTGCGAGAGGTGGCTGAGGCTTGCCTTTGGCCCTGGTCCCTGCTAAAGTTGTGACTGGCAGGTGGACCTCATCACAGAAGGTGGTGTCACTGTCACTGCAGCAGTTCCGAGCGGTGCCTCCACGGGCGTGCATGAGGCGATTTTTGCTGGGTTCAGTTGTTGATAAAAAATCAATCCTCGCCTTCAACATTCGGATTCGGATCCTCGGCGCAGGCCTGCGAATTGCGAGATGGAGACAAAGGCCGCTACTTGGGCAAGGGCGTGCCTCGTCATCGAAGGTTAGGAAACAAGCCTAAGGTGTCCCATGGTCCTGTGCACGAAAGTTAGACGTCGCATTTCTGAGGCAAGTCTTCTTGCCTTCGTTCCAGTTTCGCTTCAGCACAGTTGCGTTGTTCATCAGGTCTTGAAGGCTGTCGAGTCTGTGAACACGGTCTTGAACGCATCCTTGAAGGCCGACTGACTCTTTTGGCGGCTTTGGATTGGCTGATTCTCAGCGCCTGCAGGGCTTTGACGTGTCGAAGCAGAAGGAGCTCGATGATAAGATGATCGAGCTTCCTGCCTCAGCCACGATGTAAGTATTGTAAGTGACGAGCAGGTGGTATCTGCATGCTGCTAGCTAGAAACTCACTGGGGAAGTTTTCAGCAACCAGCATTCCATCGACTCCTTAGCCAACCTCTGCCAACGGGTGCTCTGATCCTGGCATCATGTTTGCCAGAGAGGCTGGATGGTACCCCGAACAAGAGCAAGCTGGGAGCCAACGCGATTCTGGACCGGGCATCTGTAGCTTCTGGGGACAGGTCGAGGGTTGAGGGCGTCAGGGTGCTCGATTTTGGGGAGCGTACGACTTATGAGAGTTCAGCATTCGCAGAGACGTCGGCATCCTTTACTTGTATGTGCGGGTCCTGTGTTGCGCTGCCACAGTGCAAGGAATATGTTTTGATTATTGGCCAGCGGAGTCAAGCCCCAAAGCTCTCGTAAGCCTGAGAATTCGGATCCATGTGAACCCTGTCTCCAGGGTGTGTCAATGGCTGCTGCCAAGGCCGCTGCGCAGGCCCGAGACCCCTCAAGCGACCTTTGCACGCCTGCCCACCCCTACACTTGGACTCAGACTTCAAGAAATCCGTGGCAGGCCAAGGGCGTCCCTCTGCATCTCGGCTGTGACGGCTGTGGATTCAGAAGTTGGTTGGGTAATGTTTGGTACTTCAATGCCTGGACTTCCGACTATCCACGTCCCGCCGACCTGCAACGATTATTCAATGAGTAAGCAGCAGCGTTGAGTCAGGAAGTTGTGCTCAAGCAGCCATCGAACAGGAACAGGATATGACGTGCTCTGGTCTGGTACTACTTCTGCTGAAGCGAACAGTGCCGACTCGGAGCCTAGAGTCCCTGCCAAAGACGTAGGACAGCCAGGCGTGACGGAAGCACAGTGGCTTAGAGTATTGGAGGTACCAGCACTTTGCCGAGCTTGCCGGAAACTCTCAGAAGCTCACACTGCCTGTCCCTTGCTTCAACGTCATCAACGGAGGCTCCCATGCAGGCCCCGTCCTGCAAATGGCGTAAAGATTTTCACAGTGCAACTTCATTCAAGCAGACTCTGCATTGTCGTGCTCACGACTCGTTACAGGCAACAAGCTCGCCTTCCAGGAGCATCTCGGCTGTCCCGCAAGAGTCTGGTCTCGAGTGACAGCGAAATACTTGTCTAGGGCAGGGGTCTGAGCATGGCAAGCTGCAACTCGTTCCGAGGTACTTCATCATCCCAGTGGGTGCGTCCTCTTTCAAGGACGCTATGCGTATCGGTTCGGAATGCTACCACACGCTGAAGGGCATCATCAAGAAGAAGCCACCTGCCCTTTTCCGAATTGACTTCAGACCCTGCACACTCTGGCTATTTCTGGTAGCCTAATGAGAACCAATAACAGTAGCAGCCACCGCATCAATTCCAACTGCCTGTCGTTGCAAGGTTCGGTGGCGATGCGACGCTGATTGGTGATGAAGGTCGACTGTTGCTGTCGCCGAAACCAGATTCTCATTCTGCATCATGCCTTTAAGTGCAGGCGGCTTTGCTCCTCCTTGCGATGCAAAGCAGGGCGTGGAGTTGATCATGGAAGCGATTGAGCCGCTGAGCCGCACCCTAGGGAGCTCGACTGGCAATTCGAGCCCCCATGCCCAGAGCTTCCTTTGTTGTGTTGCCCTGACCCTGATACTTCAGGAAAGCCGGGTACAAGGACAAGTGCAAGATCGGCATGGACGTGGCTGCCTCCGAGTTCAAGCAGGAGCTGACCTGTCCCCGCGGGTAGGATCGAGGGGATCCTTTGTCGGAGACTCGTGCCTAGGGGAGCGGGTGTGTGCATGCTGCGGCTGTGCACAAGCCTGTGGTTGAAGTCATGTCGTGCGCCACATCCATTCATGTGAGGCTCAGTTGAATTGCCAGGCGTGTCCTTCTGTGTTGCCAGTACCGTAGTTCCCAGGCAGGCTAACTTCGCTTCCACAACGGGTGAAGAGGGATCGGACGGGCTTGTTGCACTCTGCCTGTGGAGCTGCTCGTTGTCGCCCTGTTTTGAGAACTGTGATTTACGAGGAGGGCGCAGACTGCTATGACCTCGGCACTTGGTATGCAGCCGCCTGCCTTCAATGCAAGCGCAGCTTGACATGCTGGGTTGGAGCAGTGTCATTCTGGGTGAAGACGACCTCAGGAAGCCGAGAAGACTCCCGAGCTCAAGATGACTGGCTCGCAGCTGGCAGATTTCTACGCAGATCTCTGCGCCAATTACCCACTCATCACCATCGAGGATCCTTTTGATCAGGCGAGCTTGCCTATTGCAAACTCCTTTGATTGCTGCCCTCCATGTCCATGTGAAATCGGACAGATTCGGACAGGATGACTGGGCGGCGTGGACAGGCTTCACTGCAAAGGTGGGTGGACCCACCCAGGTTGCCACATGCTCGGAACATGCAGGACTCTGCGTGCACGGTGACGTTTTTTAAATATATGGGGGACCGCCCAGCCGCACTGGCCGCAGAGGTAGTATAAAATATTTGTTTAAATCCGTATATTTATATCCCAGTATGACGTGAGCTAGCCTTCAGTCTTAAAAAGGTGAAGGCTGGAATGCTAGAGGGTTGAAGGCTGGAAGGGGTTGAAGGCTGGAAGGGGTTTAGGGCTGGAGGGGTTGAAGGCTGGAAGGCTTGAAGGCTGGAGACTGCAAGGGCTGGAGTGCTGGCTGGAAGGCGGGAAGGTTTGGCTTCCACCCAAAACCCCAAAACCCACGAAGGGGTGGAAGGCTGGAGCTGCACTGCCTTGAAGCCTTCCACCCTCAACCTTCCAGCCCCAGCCCTCCAGCCTTCCAGCCTTCCTCCAGCCCCAGCCCAGCCTCCAGCCCTCCAGCCTTCTAGCCCTTCCAGCCTTCCCAGCCCCAGCCCAGCCTGCCTCCAGCCCTGCAGCCCTCCAGCCTTTCAGTCCTTGAGCCTTCCAGCCTTCCAAGGCCGGAAGTGGAGGAAGGCTGGAGACTTGGAATGGAGGGCTGGCCTGGATGGGAGGCTTGAAGGCTGGAGGACTGGGGAAGGCTGGAAGGTTGGAAGGCTGGAAGACTGGAGGGCTGGAAGGCTGGACGGCTGGAGGGCTGGGCTGGAGGAAGGTTTGACTGGGTGGGAAGGCTGGAGGAAGGCTGGAAGGGCTGGAGGGCTTGAATGAAAAGCTGGAAGGCTGGAAGGTTGGAAGGCTAGGGACGGCAAAGCTGGAGGGCTGGGGCTTGGGGCTGGAGGAAGGCTGGAAGGCTTGAGGAAGGCTGGAGGGCTGGCTCGGTTTGGCTTGAACCTAAAGCTGAAAGGTTTGGCTTCTACCTGAACCCTAAACCCTTAAACCCTAAACCCCAAAATCCTAAACCCCAAACCCACCAATGATCTGCCAATTTCCGGATATTTTGTTTCGAGGCGGGCCCGGGCGATGTTTACGGAGGTAGTGTAATATACCTGTTTAACCTGTTTGAATATCCGTGTATTTAAAAACAGACGCGGTAACACAGCGCACATCGTCTGAGGATAGCGACCGCATCAAGAGTCATGCTCAGGTCGGAGATGACCTCACCGTCACGAATGTCACCCGAGTGAAGAAGGCCATTGATGACAAGGCCTGCAACGCGTGGCTTGGCCAAGCAAAGAAGCGCTACTTACTTCAGATGCTTGTTTGAGGCTTTGCGATGTGCGTTGCAGCGGCGTTTTGCAACTTTGCCCGAGGCTTCTGCTGAAAGTCAATCAGATCGGCACCGTCTCTGAGTCTATTGATGCAAGCCTGCTGCATTTGCATACTGCTGCTCTCTTGCGGTGTTTGTTCGGCATACAGAGTTAGGACCCACGTTATCTCAGGCCGTGAAGCTGTGCAAAACCAATGGCTGGGGCGTTATGTGCCTGCCCGAGACATGTTTCAGATCGCGACTGTGAGCTAACAACAGAGCCCACGTCTCGTGTTCAGGTGCTCTCACCGATCTGGAGAGACAGAGGACACCACTATCGCAGACTTGGCCGTCGGTCTCTGCACTGGCCAGAAACTTGACTCGAAGATCGATGGACGGCGTGCTGTGGTACTTTCGAGATGTTGGATGAGTCGTGCAGTCAAGTAACTCTCGGGCTCTGATGCAATCAGGATCAAGACCGGTGCTCCTTGCCGATCCGACCGCAACGCCAAGCATCCTGGCATCATATCGAGCTAGTGAGCTTCGCTGAAGTGAACCTCAAACGATCGGCAAAGCATTGGATTCCGGGTTCGTGCTCTGGGTTTCATGGTACGGAACTCACATGTGAGCTTTGTCAAGGTACAATCAGCTGATGCGCATTGAAGAGGAGCTCGGTGACAAGTGCGCCTACGCAGGTGAGTCGTGGCGTAAGCCCGTGTGGATGGCGTGAACACGCCTCAATGTTTCAGAGCAAGCTCGGAGAGCGAGCTCAACCGATTGGTTCTCATGAATTCGGACCTGAAGAAATCGAACTTTTGTGGTTTGAGGGCTGCACTTCTGTGAGGAGGACTTTTCCATTCAGTAGCCTCCTTGCCTGCCTGGGCAGCTTTTGGTACCATCAACCGTCCAGTGTGTCATCTGCTTTTCAAAAGGCCGTCGCTGCTTTTAAGCACTTGCACAGACTTACAGCACTTCAAGGAGAAGCTCCACTGCCGTGAAGCCCCGAAGGCAGCGAGAGATGCGAGACCGCCGCCTCGGTCCTGTCAAACCACTACCTGCGAAGCCACCTTCAGGTGGCGACCCCGAGGAGCCGAACTCTGCACCGTCAGAGTCTACACATCCTGTTCCTGGAACATCCTGGACGACTCATCCATCGTTTTGTCGGTTTGTCGCCCTGTCAACCACACCGCCCGGCCAGTTCCGCACTTTTCGGACATGGCATTACCGGTTTGGAAACCCCAAGACGGTGTAGGGACGTCTCGGGCGTCATCTCCGTTGATGCGGACAACAGGAAGTGCACATCTTCGTCATTGGAGACGCGTGGATGAGCAATTAATGCAAAATTGCGTGCAGCGATTTGCAGAGAAACCTGTTTTCATGCTTTCATGGCACTTGAGCAGCATCTCAGGACTGGGGCACCTATCCAGGATCGACCAAGCCGAACGAAAGTTTACAAATTGCAGAGCATGCTGCGCAGATGTTCGAGACCTGCTGAACTGTGTTTCAGCTTTGCAGGAACTGGACTCAACATGCGATCCCAATGGGATTCGAGGCTCGCTGGCTAAACCCGCGATGCACTTTCCTAGTATAAGCTTCCGTTTTGCAGTAGCCGCTCTTGATTGGCACATGTCTCCGGTGCCCAGCCGCGCATTGCCTGCAGTACATGGAACACCGAGTGTTTCGTCGGCGGTCGCTCGCAGAAGGAGTGGGAGGAGGTTCGACGTCTGGGCTTTGCAGTGATTAGTGATTAGCTACGATGCACGGAGATGGCTGGACCTGCTGTTTTGTTGCAACGTGCAGTGACCGCTCTGTACTGGAGGCAAAGAGGACCAACCGGAACAGTGCAGACAAGGCCCCGAGAATTGATCCGGGCTCACAGGTTGGAGTGTGAATCCATTCATCGTGTATCCTAAACCACCGAAACAGCGCGCAATGAGAAAATCAACGTGCGAATTATTCAGAAATATCAATATCCTCGGAATTCGAAACACCTTAAAAGCATAGGCAAATCCACTGTGAAGTAGAACTGAAATCACATGTAAACTATATCGTGGAGAAAAATCAATGATCCCTGACTAACCAGATAGACTTCCATGTGGATGTGACGGCCGACGCACTTCGAATCCCGTGGTCGATGTGTTGGATGTTTTCATAAATCCGTTAATCGTGTATCCTAAACCCCCAAAGCCACCCGAAATAAACATGTCAATGTACGTAGTCTTCAAAGAATATCAACCGAATCCGAAACACCTTAAACATAGCAAAACCCTTGTCAAATACACCAAAAATCGCAAAAATTAAGCTATATCGTAGACCCGAACACGGAAAACCAATAATCTCTGACCAACCCGATGGACTTCTCCATGGATGTCGCGAGTCCCCTGGTGGCCTGGTGGAGTGTGAACTCGCAATATGGACCAGGAGTCGCTGTTCGTGGTACAGCCGGAGACCGTAGGAAAAAAGATTTGACGGCGCGCTACAGCCCACAGTTCCGCAAGTTCCATAATCCATGCTCGGTGCCCTACCATCCGATAGACTCCTCAAAACGAGGCCGACAGTGACAGTTAACACCAACATGGGCAATGCCCGGCCTTCAGATTGCAGGCCGAAGTCGAGACAGAAAAACAAGACACCGTCAGAATTAACACCGAGATCGTGGCTCTAAGAAAAACGAGTTCCGATGTTCCACTGCATAAGCGACCTGGTGCCTGACGAAGACAGAAGATCGCTCCTCACAACTTGTGCCGCGAGTAAAAGGGGAAAGCAGCGAAGCAAAAGACCAGTCAAATTTGCAGCTGCGGTTCACGTATAATTAAGTAGATTGGAGGGGCGTGCGTGCCTTTGTTTCTTCTGATTGAGCTATTTACTTCACTGGTCGGGTCAATACATACTGTAGCGACTGCTCTTTTCCGCCTGGCAGCCTTGCATCAATCCGTCAGGTCATGAACTCTTGGAACAATCCACCAGGTCGTCCCGTATGTGGGTCGATGCATATTGAATGCAGTTGGGCAAAAACCGGCGGAGGACGCTGCAATCCAGACGCTCGGTTCGGCTCAATGCCATGTCGTACCACCCATTGGTTGACAACACAGTCATTTGTGTCCACATCGTCCCACAACCGTCCCGTGGCCAAAGTGAACTGATGCTCACCGTTGCAGTGTGTAACTGTCCTCACCAAGGACAATGCTGCGTACTGGAGGGATCATTATGCGCAGCAAAATGTGGCGAGGGCCATGACCGACCAAGCACGCAGCCGTAAAGCGACTCTTGGTTTCAGCAGAGAGGTGTCATTGAGCGGAAGGAGCGACCCTTCACCTTCCCCAGCAACCAGTAGGCTGGTACGGTGATACCGGTATGTGCGTCACGACTGAGGAGCTTCGTCATCAACACCGCAGACAACTTCTACATGGGAGGCCACCACGGCCACCACTTTAGCCTTCTTCAGATCAAGGAACAGGGACTGTAGGCGCAGTGCCTGGCCCCCAGGAGTGGAGAGCACCACAGATGACTACTGGAGCATGATGTTCGAGGCTTGCAACTCGTAACACTCGAAAATGTCAAGGAAGAAGCAACAAGTGCACATCCTCCATGACAAGCAGGAGTTGTACACGGATGAGAGCTTGCAGATTCCGTGGCTGAGTTCTCTTGGAAACCTGGTTGCACTCAAGCCTGACCGTGCCTTGTCACTCTATGGCCGTCCACGAGGCAACCACGACTACGGGGGCCATGAATGCGACTTCTGCCTCTGGAAGACGACAAAAGGGGACCCGGGTCATAGAATCAGAAGGGGCAAGCCCTGCTCTCAGGTGGCTAAGCTGCAACTTTGCCTGTGACACGAGTTGATGCAAGAATTGTTCGAATGTCGACAGAAAGTAACTGTGCCTCTTGAAAAAGGTCGAGGGTCAGGTTTGTATGGCCGGGAGCAGACTCGGGCATGCAAACAAAAATGTGGTCATACTGTGCCTGCAGTAAGCATCCGCGCACGCACGCACCGTGCTTAGAACCAAAATGGGTGGAATCTCAGCTTTGTATCTGGCGTGACAGGGAACACATACATAGCCCAAGACGGAGCAGAACGGACGCCAAGTCTGGGCATCAGACTTGCAGGCGTTTCACTGTCAGGCTTTTGAATTTGAAACCCATACCCTTCTGATGCTAGCTGCTAGCTCATAGCAACGACCGGAACATACAGGAACACTCTGGGCATGACCCCAGACACTTCTTGTAAAACAGCATGCACTTTCCGCACAGTTGCTGACTGATTCCGCGAGTCTTTAGTCTGCCCAAGGTTGAAAACACACACAGACAGACACAACTCTGGAGTTCCTCACAGTCCCGTCCACTTAACCAGCCGGTCAGCGTCGTGGTGTATCAGATGACAGGGTCCAGTCTATAGATACTCTGCGAGCTCCCTGAAACTCACTTGTGCTTTTCGCGTGACCTGCTATGTTAGTCGCAAGGCACTAGGACCAGGAAGTCTATTACTCTCCATGACATGCTTGTCAGAGATTGTTGTCCGATCCAAGCTGAATGATCCAGGAGACTTGCGATTTTTTCCTACGAAACATCCTGCGAGTGTTTGGCCATAATCTGCTGCCTGCAGGTAACCACTCGTTAACCAGATCTATGACAAAACCTAGCAACCTGGTAGATCCTAGTAGCACAGCACTGCTTGATCGGCGGAGGCTATGATCGATTATGACACAGAGCATGATTGGCAATGGCCCAATCCAAAGACAGTGCGCTGGGTCATGCCCATGCAGGGCTACCAAGCAGCAATTTCAGTGGGCGCGGTTGAGCGCTTGTTGGAAGCAGCCCTTCCGCCAATCAGCCAGCTGGCAGAACACGTGCAGTGTTCGAACTATAGAAACAGCAGATGTGTCGTATGAGATTTCATGCCCCTATTTTGGTGGTTAGTATTCTTCTTCGAACAATAACTGCCACCATCACCAACAACAACAACCACAGCCAATAAGTTGTTCCCCCGTTCCTCTCTTCGGCTCGATGAATTGCTTCGCTGGGCTAGGGCACAATTGGGACTTCGAAACGAAGGTCGTGGCCGACCCTCGTTTTCACGAGGGGACAATGTGAGATTTGGGCTCAACCGCCATCGCCTGATGAGGGGTCGGTTGAAGATATGGTAAGAACAACAAGGAGGAGGGGGTTGCTCGCTGTTGGGCAAGGAAGCGGGAGTGGGGCGAGTGTGTTTTAAGAAGAATGTGCAGAGGGAGCAACAGAGATCCAAAAAGGGTGGAGACGAACAAAATGGGAGTGCTCAATTCAGCCTTCCTGCAATTTTGAGGCAACGACCGATGGTACATGAAGAGCTTCAAGTTCCCGAAGGCCAACGTCACAATCGATGTATTTGTCATCGACACCAACAAGGCACATGCAGCTTCACCGCACCAAGGCACAGCAATCATGATCAAGTCTTGATTACGGCCTGCACGAAAGCTCCAATGTCTCAACATCTTACAACTGAGATCCAGAGCCAGTGCAAATTCCATTGCCCGACGCAGTTTAAGGACGAGTCTTGGTTGCATGGATATTTTTGTGGAAAAACCTAGCAGCCAAAAAGCATTCCTCGCAGCTAAGTGGTTCGCGTGCGGGACAGTATACGAGTGCTGCGTTGATGTTGATGGGTCATTCGGCATGTGCTCAATGCACACCCACATGAACTAAGAAATGCGAGAGCTTCTTCCATCAGCTGTGGAAGTGCCGTCCTGAGATGCTATTGGAAGTGACAGCACTGGAATCTGTTCGTGAGGTTGGCTTGAGCCACGTAGAGTTTTCGTGGTGTCAGAGGCGAAAATCATTTTATTGTAGACAAGCTTAGGCATTTTTTGATCGGCAGGCGGCACAGGATCAAAGGATGTTCACGGCATGGTTTGACTGCATTCAGCGTGCTGAGGCGGCAGCGGGAATGGCTGCTGCCGGCCCTGGAGAAGTCCGAAGCAGACTGGATCCTGGTCTTGCGAGAGTTGATGGGACGAAGGTTTTGTATCTCTTGAACGGGTGTCAGTTAGAAAGGAACGGGCCGCTCTTGCCAGGGTGCGACATGTTGAGTCAAAGAGTGGCCACTCCTCGCACTCTGCAGCTGCAGCCGTGCTCACCGGACAAGTGCAGTCGTTTACTGTTAGCCAGGCAAATCCTATCCAATCCCCGCAACATGTCAGGAAGATGGTGGTTGGGCATGCTCCGCCAGAAAATTTCGAGGAGTGCACCCCAGAAGCTGTAAAGACCGCACATACGATGGCAGCAGCATGAGGGCGGATGCACGCTTGTATCATGCGAAATGCTACGGAGAAGCTGCAGGCCTCGATCATGGAAGAGATGCGAGACCGTGGAGTTTCTGTGTACATGGCAGGCAGCATTCCCAGCTTGTGGGAGAACGGGGGGGATCAAGTGTGATGAGACGCTGAGTCATAACAGCTCAGGGATCTGCTGCGCCCTCTCAGACCTAGGTACCTGCGCTACATGGACTCAGATGTTCCCACTACGTAAGACTTATGGGTGAACGGGGTAGAGTGTGGCGGACCCTCAACCCTGAAAGCGCGGCAAGCTCGAAAATGAGACATGCCGACCTGGGAAGGAGTAATGGGCATGGGGCCGGCGAAAGACCCTGACTCGACAGAGCGGTAAGAGCAGCTCCATGGCCCTGGCTAAAGTAATGCTACCACGCAGCGGGCCGCTGGCCAGTTCCAGGTACCAGGCTCGACCATAGCATCGTGCATGGCGCCACGCTCTTTCGCGCCCGAAACAGAGCTATCTCAGCCCTCCGGCATGGCAGTCGTTGCGAGGCCCTTCACTAGGGTTTCACTTCAACTTCACAAAAGCCCGACCCCACACTCAATCGCCCACCGAGTAAATGTCATCAAGGGAGACGTTGCCACATCCGCACCTTGTGTGTCCTGAACCCTGCTGCACACACAGAATGTTTTTTTCTGCACAGGATAAAAAAAAACACTTGGACTTTAGTGCCCAATGTATCAGGTGCATGTCGAAACCAAAACTCCGCTTCACAACCGTGGATATCATGCACAGACAACAGCACCTTTGCAAGCGGGTGGCTTTCTGGAGTAGTTACTGCTTGCGCGCACGATACCATGTGAAGGCAAGCCAACACTAAAGGTAGGGAAGGTGTGTGACTCTTTTGTCCGACCCGTCCAACAGTCTTCTGCCAGCAAATTCATCTAGCAATTAGACTCGAAATTGACTCAGGATGCCGAAGACACTTCGCGACATCTCTAGTCTCACCGAACCCACAAGCAAGACCGAAAATATGTTAAGTTACCAGGCTTTCGAGAAGATCGGCATGTTGGAATGCAGAGAGTTGCCAGATGCTGCAATGTTATCACAAGCATGTTCGAGGTCTGGGGGCATACGGGGCTATGAAGGGCAATCAAAGCTTCGCTGGCCAGTAAGCTTTTCTGTTCCAAACACTGTGCATGTCTTGGCATGTGAGCGATCTGCGTCCGGGGAAGGTCACGTCCATCAGCTTCGCCATGACCGTCATCCATCGGGGATCGAGGCATCCAGTGCGCGAGAGTGCCCTGGTTCGTTCCATTTCTCTATCGCTATGCCGCTATGAAGCTGTAGCAGTGGATGCAGTCAGGCCATCATCTCGGGCTCCGGTGGCGGCTATCAATCGGCAGGGGGTGGCCAAATCCTCATGCATCATGCTTCACCACTGCTCGACGCAGTCACGCGTCGACCTCTTTAAGGAACTGCCTACACACTGCACCAGTCCCAGGCTGGGGCTTTGGGCTGTGCCACTGATAGGATACAGGCTTCGAGTTTGCTCACATTCACTGGCGTCTTCGTATCGGTCGTATCACTGGGGGTACTCACAGTTCACACCGTTTGGAAGACTTTGCATCCCACTGGCGTCTGGCACCGTCCCAAAACATGTCAAAAGGACTACGGCTTTGCGACGATGCATGTCGAGCAACACCAGATTTCTGTGGAGTACTTCAATGACGAGGCCCTACAAAAGCAACATCCCATGAGCAGTCGGCATCATCTGCTTGGTTATGCGGCACCGATCCTTTTCCTGCGTCATTCCTGCCTTGGCCAGGGCAAGCGGCTTTGGGATCCGGTCGTGATCCCGCGAATCGACGTTGTTCAGGACATTTCGCAGAAGTTAAGCGAAAGTGTGTCGTCCAGCTTGCGAGGCACATGCATCGAGGCAAGTCTTAAAACATGCCAGATTCTGGGACGGCCCGCTTCTCAGGAGAGCCTCCTGAAAAAGCTGCGCGAGGCTGGAGCTCTCTTTCGATTGGAACCCCCGAGACCCGAGACTTTGGCCTGGCGTTCCTGGCAGAGGCGGCCATTGCCGGCCGGACAATGGACATGAAGGAGCTGATCGGAAAGGCCAAGGATCATGGAGCCAACCGTCTGCAAAGCTTCAGAGGGGCGCAGTATTTGCGAAGTAAATGCGGACTTGATGCTGCAGCGTGCATGACGGAGCGGCATTTGGAGCTGTCTTCCTGATGCGGAATGTTCCCGTCATGCCTGCTCGTGGTTTTGGACCGTAGTACAGATGTCAAGGTAGACGAGAGCTTCATCAATTCTGCTGCACTTGCTGGTGTCAAGGCGCCGGTCGGTGCTTCGGAACGATGTACATGCAAAAACGATCAATAACGATCACGAAGAGTTGATTAGAGTTTGAGTCCGCCAGCATAGCAAGAAGCGCAGATGCATCATTGCTTCCCCATTAGAAGAACTCCCTGAGGCCTTCGAGGCCGGAGGAGGTGGCCGAAAGGGTCCTGCCGTGTCTTGAGGGGCTGAATAAAGGAACGAGGGGTCACCCAGCATGCTCTCTTTCGCTGTGAGTCAGCATTCCCACTGCGGTACCTCTCAATGTGTTCAGGTATGGCATTTCTTCACATGAAGCCAGAGATAATGAAGCAGCTGATCTGCAAGCAGGCACCTCATTGGGCACCTCGTTGCTTTTCAGCGCACAATGCACCATGAATGCACCATATGCACCAAACATTCTTTGGGGCTTTGTCGTTTTGTGTGCCTCTAGCAGGAAAGGCGCGGGACTGCGGAGCGAGTAAGTTGATGCAAAGACCCAAGTCGCAAACATCCGCGCCAGGAAGCATAAACTCTCGAGAACTCTCGCTGAGGACAGGGGAGAGCACGTTTTCCGGCTTCTTGTCCTCATGGACGACGGAAGAACGTGGCCTGGAGTTCATAAGGTTTCAAGCGACATGAAACAGCACGTTGACATGCAGGAATAAGCTCTTTTCAGGAGCATGAAGCCCTGCTTCTGCAGTTTGTAGCCATCTACCACGCAAGGGAAGAATTCTGCACGGGCGTGTGCCTTGCTCTGTTTGTCGCTTGGCAAGCTTTGCTCGAACCCTTGAGGTCTCCCAACGGAATGGACAACCTTGTTCTACCGTCAAGATACAGGAGCCTGCTGCGCCTTCGCTGCATTGCGCCATGGTATATTACTGAGGGAACTAAAGTAACTAAGGCCGCAAAAGACTGTAACAGCTAAAGCAACTTATGGGTTCTTATTTGCGAAGCTAGCTGGGTGTCTGATCCTTTTCAGGTTTTCTGCAAATAGCCGCAAGCTTGCCTGCTGTAGCTGGTCCTGTACTGGTTCCCGGTGCTGTGGGTGCCGTCCTTTAGCATTCCCAAGAGCTGCGAACTTCTGAGAAAGCACCGGGAAAATGCCCCCCGAACGACACAAGAGTGCAAGTCCTAGTTCGCCATGCGTTCCCAGGCACTGCGCCCAAAGGTTAAAATCAGCGAGTGTTGCACGGCACAGCCCCAATTCGCCATGCAATTCGTGAGACTTGCTTTGGGGGTGAACACAACACTGCGACTTCAGCTGACAGGTTCGAAATTGCAGCTGCCACCGCCGCCAACAAAGACCACAGCCCTGCGCTGAGTTTGGTCCATGGCAGCTGCAAAGAGCTTCTTTTTCTCAGCAAAGGTGTTGTGCTATCCGAGCCCAGCCATCTGTACTCCGCAACAGATGGCTGGCAAGCTCGCAGAATCAGGCCTTCCACTGCTTCGGAGCGAGTGTCGAGAATTTTGCTCGAGAAGTGCTGGAAGCTCCGCATGGAAGGTATGGAATGCGCGTTAAGCCGTGAAGCAACATAGAAACAGGGCTGTCTTCCAGCATGGCAGGTGCAGCGGCCATGCTGCTTGCGATGCAAAAGGACGACTTGAAGGCTGTGCAAGTCGATGAGAACGCCGACCTTACCGAGGAGGACAGTACAAATTGCACCAGTGGCTGCGACTGAAGATGGTGAATTGTGGGTATTAGCTTGGGAGCACAGCGGGGATGCAGACAAGCATGTCTCAGAACGCAGGAAGAGGGCATGCCGGTGATGTCTGTGCCACAGAGCTCCATCAAAGATGTGGGCTCTTGGTTGGGCAACCAAGACACATGGCAGTTTTTGGCTTCAGCTGCAGAGTGTCATGATGCCTTACTGGTTAAGAAACTGCGTGCCACCAAGGATGAAAAAATTGGAATCCTGCTTCTCGTATTGCACAGAAAGCCTGCTGCAATTTTCGGAGATTTGAATCGCAGCGGACGCCGGACAATTCATCAATTCTACAATGAACAAGACCAATGGCAACTTACTTCTTGTTTTGTCAGGCTCTTCGGCGGCAAGGGCGCTTGGCAAGCTGCCGTGGACGGCGCCAGGCCAGGTCAGAAGCGAAATGGCTTCACAAAGGAGAAACGTCAGAACATACGCACTGGCAGGGACGCTGGAGTTTCCAAAGACGTGATTGAGGCGCGTAGTTCAATCACAGCGTTGACGCATCGGTGGTTTTGAATGAGCAGCTGCTTCGGCCTGCATATGATGCTAAGTAACGATCGATTTGGAATCATTGAGCCACATATGCAGACATGGATTTGTTTTGCTTTGTTGTACAGCTGTGAACTACCAGGCTGCAGTGCAGGAAGCGAAGCGACAGCGTGCCGAGGAAAAGCTTCAGGCCCGGTAAGCAAGCTTTACGCCTTCAGGCTAAGTACGAGTCAAGGTTCGCAAGCTGCGAGAGCACAGAACGTAGGATCAGAAGCTTGCACCACCACCACCACCACCACAACAACAGCAACAACAACACAGGCAGCCGCAGCAATCACAACACCGACAATGACTGGGGCTGCTGCTATTGCTTCTACGGCTAGTGCTGCTATTTGTAGTACGTAGAACATCGTAGAACTACGACTACTACTCTACCTCACAGGAAAGCCCATCTAATAAACCAGCATTGCACAGCACAAAAAGTAACCAACAGAAAAGGCCTGTCTAAGCGAAAAATCCTAAAAAACAGCATTCGAGAGGGCAGTTGAAGGGATCACAGGAGCAGGCTGGCGCCTACCATCACCGCTGCTACCACCGCTTTGCTACTGCTGCCACTCCTCCTCTTGCAACCCCTGCTCCCTCTGCTACGGCTACTGCTGCCGCTACCACCAGTGCTACTACTGCCACTGCTGCATCGCACTGTTTGCTGGTCCCTATGCAAACCGACGAACTGACATGGCATTGTCGCAAAAGCCCTTGCACCCATGTCCAGGGCAGGAGTTTGTTGACTTGCAGTGCCCAGAAGCTTTCGCGGAAGTGCAAGACGAGCCCAGCCGATGACCACGATTGCTACTGCTACTGATCCGCTACTACGGCACACTATGACAACTGTTACTGCACTACTTTTGCACGGGACAGCTGACGTGTTGGACCTACAATTGCAAGATACAGTTTCATTCCTGCGGTCTCGTTTCATGCTGGCAGTTCCTTGCCCCATCGCTATGTCAAGCCACGGTCGAGAGCACAAGTCGCGGCACATGTCAGAGAACATTGCTCAATGCCGACGTCGTTCCCAAGTTTCTGCTTAAGATGGTGGTCGGTGCGCTGATCTGATGCCACCACCTTTGCTTCTTTCTTTGACCACTGGGAGCGCCCTTTCGTTTCACAGACAGGTTTGCTTTTTGGTCCGTTTCGCATCGCTTTCGTTGCCTAGCCCCGCTGCAATCCGCAGGGGTGCTTCATGTGGTGTCGGTCGCTTGTGCACAAGCATAGCTCGCCATCTGTTCGCGCCAGCACAATGCCTGTGGCAATAGCAGAGTTTTCGTTTGGGTTGTCGGGCATCAAGCGTGGTGACAATGGTTATACCATCGCCTGAAATGTTGCAAGGGTTCTGCTAGTTGAGCATGCCCCACAGAATTGGTTGGATGTGTAGCAACTGGTAATTCATCACAGCATTGCAACTGGCAGGAGATAATGGTCGGTGAGGACATCGGAAAAATCCGAGAGGCACTGGCGTCTTGACTGAGCATCGTGTCATACATGTCTTACTTTTGATAAGGTATTCAAGACTGATCCCCACACGCAGCTTTTAAGTCCACGGAGCCATCAACGAATCCGAGGTTTCGTTCACAGAACTCATTCAAGGCTTGGCCACACAAATGGCTGCGCACGTGATGCGTTACATGGGGTCACGTGCTCAACCTTTGTACGTGAAATGAAGACAGGCATAACAAGAGTTTTTGGTGCCGCCCTCAATCTACCCTTTGACCAAAACATCTCCACGCATCTCTGTAGTGCCGCTGGAACACGTTTTCCCCAACAGTCCAACAGAGACTCCAGCGAACATTTGGAGCAAACTTCTTCAACAGGGATATGTATTTACAGGGCTGTGCTCTCCGACAGCAGGGCAGCATGGAAGCAATATGACGCAGAACAGAACGACCGTCAGCTGCCGTCCTGCCGTGATGTGCTTGGGTGCCCATCGGTCCGTCTCCAAGGATGTGGCCAAGCAACTTGAAGCTGAGAGCGACATCGTCGAACAGGTCCTGTGGTCGCACTTCACGGGCCTTCATCGAGTCAGGGTGCAGTAGTCGGTAGACCGCGTGTCGTTGCAACCTGAGACGGGAAGCAGTAGCCCTCGAAACTGCTGCGCGTGCGTGCGAATTTGTGCAGGCGTCACGGCGCTTGACAGAGCTCGAGCTGCAGGCCGATCGACCAGTCGAGTCCGGGAGACAGGCTGTTCGATGTCCCGGCCAGGGAGATTTGTCCAAGATAGCTGACAACTGCAACGACATCGAGCGTGTGCACCAGATGATCCAGCAGGCCGAGGCAGGCTGATAGTTCAGCCGTCGCAGACAAGTTTTACAGCATGATACGCAGTTGAGTGCTTTGCTGCTTCGCCATGCTTCGCCCAAAGGAGCCGGCTTCAAGTTTCAAGGATAGTGCGGTGTACATGTAGGGTTTGTCCTGAGGTGCTGGAGGTACTTGGTACTGACGCAGCTTTGCAGTGAGCCTTGGCCCGTTTGTGAAGATGTCAGAGCGGGTCGAGAGTCTTCAGCTGAGACCCGGTGCGAAAATCATTTGAGTCGCCTTCTTTTCCCCTGCTTTCACTTCCCACCCGAGGCCGGGCGGACCTGGCCTTGAAGGGATTGCAAGCAGCAGTTGACCTCGGTTCGAACTGCAAGGCACGTAGGGCTTTACGGTAAGTACAGGCAAAGTGTGCCAGCTCCACATTCACGAAGACAGCACTGTGCCTTTCTAGAGCGATATGGGTGCTTGGTGGTTGAGCTAAATGGTCAGCTGGCAGTACACATAGTCGGCAGAGTCAAACGGCTCCAACCGTGACGCAGGACAGCACAGCATGTCGATTCTGTTTGCAATGCAGAACTGAGCAGGATGCTAAAGCTGGTCAGTTCATTTGTGGGCATGTGTTGTCTCTCTGCGCGCGCGCGGCTGTGACAGTCGCCCTGTCAGACGCCTTTGGCGGCAGCAGTGGAATGGTGCGAAATTTCGAACATCACCTCGGACGCTATCGCCAAGGCTCAGGAGGACTCCGGTTTGGATCTTCGGTGCCATCTCGGTTTCTGGGTCTTCTCTGGTGCACTATGCTAGAGTCCTAACAGGGGCATCTCCTCGTCGGGACACGAACCTAGTTTAGGAGTTGGACGGTGAGAGCGCAAGTAGAAAAGTGCTGGTGCATTGTTGACACTAACACAGCCAGTGGGAAAGGTGTGCAAATCCTAAAGCGGCAGATGCTTCGCCCATGCACACACGAGAAGCTTGTGAGGATTGCGCGCAGGAGGCGGAGACCAGCCTTTGCCGAACTCTGCTTCGTCCCTCATGTTTTGCCCTGCTTGGTCACAAATCGGACCTTTGGAGGTGGCTGCGGCTTCCAAGAGGGATCTCATCATAGCTGTGGCAACTGTGGCAGCTATTGTGGTGGGAGCAGGACGACCATGGCAGAAACCGTCACCACGGCCGATCCAGTCTTTCTGCCTGCAGGTCTGTGTTTCGTCGTGAGCCGAAAGCGTCCGCAGGCCAGTCCATTTGTGCACAATCTTTGCGATCACAGCATAGTTGACTCTTTTCGGGGTGTTGCAGCGAGCGCAGCTCCTTGCATGTTCCCAGGCACCAGCACGAGAAAGCCCCGGTGGCATCGAATTGCTGGACAACAACGCTTCGTGATCGGCTGAAGCCCGGAAACTGAGGGGCCACCGCAGGACACCAGGAAGATCCAGGAAGCATGACCAAGTCGGGCTACAAGAGGCCGACGAGGGTACTAATTCACGTGCTTTGCAAGCGCTTGAACCAGCATCGATCATAGCGATGCAGCCGTTCAGTTAGCTCTGTGGAAGCAGGCTGCGCTGGGAAAATGAAACACGACCTCAAGCTTCGGAGCTGGCTGTTGCACTGCCTAAGAAGCCACGACCTACATTTCGTGTGAACGCTTAATAGATAGCTCTCAACATATTTTAAAGCGCAGACGACACGAATCTAAGCCGAGGTTTTGTCTAGTCATCGTCCACTCTTGACCGCGCGCTCTGAAGATGTGTAGCGGTGATGTGCGTTCTCATACAGGAAGATCGAGACCGGCATCCTCTCCAGCCGCAGACTGCTGTTTACGGCAGTGAAGGCATCTGGACAGTGAATCCGTTTGGTCGACGACTAGTTGGCGTCCCTTGTCAACAAGAGTGTCGCTTTGGCACGCCTTGACCCGCGGTCTTGTGTCGACGCAGTACAATCCGTTCAGCAGGCCGAGAGCTGCAGCACGTGACCTGAAAGCTCTCCACAAGGCAGAGGACCGCCCTGCGCACGTTCAGTTCGTGTCAGTTCGATCCACTCATTCTGCCCAGGACGCCAAGGCGAAGAACGCCGGGAATCCTGGCAGAGAAAGCGGTAGTGGTGGTGATGGTCGTCGTCGTCGTAGTCTTAGTCGTCGTCGTAGCACTGGTCGAGGGAGGCAGGCAGGCAGGTAGGTAATGGTAGGTAGGTGTAGTAGTTGCCATAGTTGACATGGTTGCTGTTTGTCGTCGCAGGTGTGGTGGTTGTAGTAGCTGTAGTGGTGGTGATGGTGATGGCGGTCGTGGTCGTGGTAGTGGTGGTGGTGGCGGCGGCGGGCGTGTCGACTTCAGGCCTGCGATGTGCCAAAACCCGAGAGTTGGCCCTCCTGCGGTGCGATGGAGGCATGGACAGTCTTTGCGATTGTTAAGATTTAAAGGAATAAGCAGCAGCAAATCCTGATCCCATAAAGTCGTGGAGCATCGCAAATCACAACTGGCAAGCCCAAAACAAGAAAGAACGCTGAACTTGAACTCGGGAGGAGCAAGAGATTGACAAAGCCCCAAGGAGCCATAGCACACAAAGTGGCGACTTTTTAAAGCTTGCTTCAAGAATGGGTTTCAACTTCAACCTGGTAGACTCGAAGGGCAAACCCTAAAACCACGAAAGAAATGTGGAGTGGCTTCGCTTTACCTTCTAACGGAGCGTTGAGCGGCGGCAGACCGGGGGTCTGAAGGAAAGTTTCCCTTGAGGCCGTGTCAGCACATGTCTACCTGTCAGGTTTCAGATGTCATGAGTCCTTAGGAATCCGACTATAAGGGCCTGCATTGTTTGGTGTGGCGCCCTGTCTGCATGGGATGCAGACTAACTTCAAAGACCATCGCTGGGTTGGGGTGCCGAGGGTAACCTAATCCGAAGTTCGTGTGTCAGCTGGACCCACTCCGGTTGCCTCTTCCGTGTGAATCCTACTTTCTGTCACACTGCGACCTCATCAGCGCAAGAGCACACTCCTCCGAGGGTTGACTGATGTACTCGCCATCTCCGATTTCCAGCTTACCTGTACTGGAAAGGGGCATGCGAGAGAATGCTCGGGACTCGCAAGCTCGATGTTGGAGCTGTCAGCTACTCGTACTGCCCGACCAGGGCCTTGGCAAGCAACATCGAGCTTGATTCGAGTTTCGTCAGCCTCAGCCACTTCGAGTTGCTCCCTCCTTGTGCGAACATAGAGGCTGCAGCCAGCTTCTGCCCGAAAGTCTTCAGACCTGTCTTGCCTTTGATTCCCTTTCCGATTTCAGCTTGTGCCATACATCGGCGAAGTTGCATCATCCGTATGTGCGAACAAACAGACAAGATATCCGCCAACTTACCTCGCTCCAAGCCGCGCAGAGCCCCAATTAAAGCAATGCGGCATTGGAGTTGTTCTTGGTCAGCATGGCAGTCTTTGCGAAACTGGAGCCACCTAAAAAAACAACTCAGCCTTGAGCGGAAATGTGCTGTTTTTGGCATCACCAAGTTTGATGGTGGCATGATGCGGTATTCCTGTGCAGGTCACGGGTTTCGAGGTGAGCGAGGTCGGGACATGGTGTCACAGTTTAGTTTGTGAGACGCTAAAATGTGAAAGTTTACGCCAAGCACTCGCATGAAAGTCATCCGAGCTGTCGCGAAGGCTCAAGCCTCACCAAAATTTAAACTCAAATCTCACTCCACATCAAGCGTCTTCAAAACTAAAAGCTCCCAACCTTGGACCAGGATTGTGACGGACCACCTCGTGAAAGGCAGTTCAATCTTCTTTGCGCATTACATTCAACAGCTTCGCCCGGCGACCTCGGCGACGAAAGCACAGATTTTCTGGGGCAAGCACGTCCGTGCGTCGCACCACTTGCACGGCTCCGTTGAAACCAAAGAAGTGTTGTGACACATCTGCAGCCCCCAACCTTCAGTTCACTAGGCAAACACTTCTGAAACCCAAGAGAGGCGGGAAACGGCAGAAAGAAATGAGAGGTAGAAATAAATACCTGAAAGCAATCGAAATTTGAAATTCCTGCACCTGTAAAGATGAGACCAGGGAACCTCACATCGGCAAGGCCACGGGCATTCCAGCCCTAGGCCTTACTTGCAGCATAGCACAGCGTAAATGCCAAGGGGACAAGGGCAAGGCAGGGGCAAGGGCATGCCCCGAACCTGCAAGGAAAAGGAGCAGCGGCACTCCCTAAGACCCGCTGCAGGCGGCAACCCATAAGCCCGAAACAGGGTTTGGAAGCGTTGGGCCAACATTTCACGGGTGGCAACACTGCAAATCCTAATCGGAGCACTGAGTTGCAAACCTTCAAAGCCGCGAACACTCGGCAGCGGCACACCAAAGGCACAGATGTGACATTGCGAATGTTAGACCCCAGACAAGTAGTTGGCACGCCCAAAACTCTTTTCTACGGGAATTCTCGAACCCTTGAAGGTGTGGGGAGTGACAACAAGTAAACCGCCTCAAGACAAAAACGAGTGGCAAGCAACAAACCGCGTACCGTAAGTCTGACTGTGTTCATCGAGTCCGAGGTGTGGTGCTGGCTGTGACTCAACATAGGGTGATGCAAATTAAACCTGGCGCTTCTAGAGCAGAGTTTGGATTGAATGTGCCAAGCGAAACAGCTGTTTCCTGTTCGAAATTGTTTCGAGCATCAGGGCAAAAGTTGACGTTCCCGGACCTGCCATGTGCTCGGCCTTTGGCCTCTGAAAGCGGTATGTGACATTATGTAAGTGGCCTAATTTCTGTTGTTTGCTGGGGCCGCAGGCATGGCCACTTTGCAGCAGTTCTGGCTCTGCTTCTAATGCGGACCGTTGTATCCCTATTCCCTATTCCGCTCCAGATGCAGGAGTCTGAACTGAAGAAGGGCATTGTGAATCAGGCTCGATGGGGCAAGCCTCTATACATGGGAGTGGCGCATGAAATTCCGCCAAGTGCAGTTAGCTCCAGTGAAGCATGGAATCTGCCAGGAGCACGGGCTGCAGTGGAATGCTGCGCATTGAGCCAATGGATGAAAGCTCTCCGACGACTAGCAGAAGACGTAATTAGTGGTGAGACAGTTATTGAGCCGTGGCAAGTAGACACGAGATTCTGTACGGATGTTAGAGTTCGTTTGTCACGGAACCCGGCATTGAGCTGGGCTGATGTTTATTTGTTTGCAAAAGCGCGAAAATTTCGTGCATGGGAGGGCTGCAGATGAACGTGCAAGTTGCCCCTGAGGCAAGGAGCAAAGGCAATGACTTGCATGAGGGTTAAATTCAGTGCTGTCAGGCAAGAAGTTGCATAACGTGGTACCACTAGCGATCACGGTGTTCGATTGGGACTATGCAAGAGG